CGGTTTATATTATTATTAACTCTCATGTAACTACTTTTCTAGTACAATTCTATATTAAATCTACCCAAGGTGAAGTCTAAGTTTATTATAATTCTGTCTTTTGTAAAAACCTTTTGTATATTTATGTAGTATAGTCCTTAACCTTGTATATGGTGTTTTACCTTAATATATTTATTATTTAATAATTTATAAAGCAAATAAATAACTTCTAAGCAACATAACTGTCCTGTGCAACAAACTATTTCCAAGTGGCCTACGTCTTTTCAGTCGTCCAAAGAGTGATCTAGGGTAGATGCGAGCTCAATTTCGGTTCTTTGCACAATAGATTATACTAGTGTCCTACACTCCGATTGCCCGCACTGTGGCAGAGATCAGACTAGCTGGTCGATAAGTGGAGAGACACTTTTAGTTGTTTAGTATAATGTTAGTTATAAATATATATTAGTAAAATATTAGTTTTTAGTATAATATTTCGACTCTGATTTATTTGTATTTCGTAGCTGGATATACCAACGCGAGATCTCAAATAATATCTTTGTCTTTATGCAAAGAACCTTATGATATGTGGCCTACTTCTTTTCAATCACCTGTAGGACGACCTAGGTTAGATGCGACTGTACTATAGATTTATGCACGATAAGTTATGTTAGTGTCCTACACTCCGATTGCCCGCACTGTGGCAGAGATCAGACTAGCTAGTCGATAAGTGGAGAGACACTATGAAGAAATCTTATGGTTAACTAAAATTCTAATTATGATATTATTGTACTATTACCCTGTCCAGCCAGGTTGTGGCCCTTCAATAAGTAGTAAATACAATTCAATCAAATTAATTACCTTAGAATATCTAATGTATACTACAAAATAATATTAATAATTTATGCGTTGTAAATTATATAAGTGTCCTACACTCCGATTGCCGGCACTGTGGCATAGATCAGACTAGCTGGTCGATAAGTGGAGAGACACTTTTAGTTGTTTAGCATAATGTTAGTTAAAAATATATATTAGTAAAATATTAGTTTTTAGTACAATATTTCGACTCTGATTTATTTGTATTTCGTAGCTGGATATACCAACGCGAAATCTCAAATAATATCTTTGTCTTTATGCAAAGAACCTTATGATATGTGGCCTACTTCTTTTCAATCACCTGTAGGACGACCTAGGTTAGATGCGACTGTACTATAGATTTATGCACGATAAGTTATGTTAGTGTCCTACACTCCGATTGCCCGCACCGTGGCAGAGATCAGACTAGCTAGTCGATAAGTGGAGAGACACTATGAAGAAATCTTATGGTTAACTAAAATTCTAATTATAATATTATTGTACTATTACCCTGTCCAGCCAGGTTATGGCCCTTCAATAAGTAGTAGATACAATTCAATCAAATTAAGTACCTTAGAATATCTAATGTAAATTACAAAATAATATTAATAAGTTATGCGTTATAAATTATATAAGTATCCTACACTCCGATTGCCCGCACTGTGGCAGAGATCAGACTAGCTGGTCGATAAGTGGAGAGACACTTTGAAAAAATCTTATAATTAATTAAAATTCTAATTATGATATTATTGTACTATTACCCTGTCCAGCCAGGTTGTGGCCCTTCAATAAGTAATAGATACAATTCAATCAAATTAATTACCTTAGAATATGCTTATATATATATGAATATAAATGTAAATAAAAAGAAATAAATAAACACCAATATTTTATATGTATTAGAATATTTATATCACCAAAAGTATTCGACCGAAAATAAGATGTATAATATTTTCAGTAATTACGAAAGAGGGTAAAAATGATGCAGATTTCATATAGAATTGTAGCTAAGAATGAAACATAAACTCACGCACATTCACTTTTTGTATCTTGGTTGAGTATTCCAGAGAGCCGTAGAGATGCATAGATAGAATGGCAAGGCGTCCCAGTATCCGCTAGAGGGATGTTCAGAAATCGTACATAATCACTGTAAGAGAACCAAGCACAAAGGAACCATCCGAATTTGGGGGAAAATGGCCTTTTTATAGCCTGCAAAACTGGTTTAGCGATCTCTGGTGAGATTCTTGAAATATTTTTTGCTGTATTTGATTGGTTAATGTGATAGAATCTTTTACGTGGGCATTTTATGAAATGCGTAAGAGGGAGGTTAAATCTTGTGTAAGGGTATTATTTTATTACTCATCTTATCCACGGGGAAACACTGATTTGGTGATATATTTTATTAAATATAAGTATTAATTATTACATGTATTAAAATGTGATACTACATTATTTAAATTTTTTTGCATTTTTAAGTCGAAAAAGTAACTTTTAAATTTGACTTAAATTGCTAATAATATCATTCGTCGAAAGCGACGAACAGTTGCCGAATCGGTAACACTTGTTTCTCTGACGCCTAGAGTATGAGGTTTAAATCCTCTGGTGTAAATGTATATTTTGCATTTTTTTTTGAGTTAAAATAAATGTTCAAATCATATGATTATTATCTCATTTAGATTCAATAACTTCAATAAATATCAAGGATCCCATCACTATAGTTTCCCCTCGTGATAAGAAATTTATATTCATGTTAATATTATTTTACTATGTGATTCTTTTTGTGGCTATAATTTATTTTTCCAACCCTCACTCGACCTACTTTTTTCAACGATACGTCAAATGATTACAATTCGTATTTAGTTTAAGTTATTACTATTAAAAATCGAAAAAATATTCCTTATACAAATAAAAAGTAGCTAAACCAGCTTTTTCCATACAAACAATTAAAATCATTAATTTCTAATATTCTTAAAGTATTTATTGTCGAATTAGATTTGATATGATAAAGGTATTCAACTACAAAAGTAAATAATTTTAATTTGAAATTTATTAAATTTTTAACTCTATTTGTGTGTGATTCTACCAGTTTATAATAATCCAATTTATTTTGTAACATGTTGCTATATAAATAATAAATAAAAAAAAAATAATTTTTAGTTTCACCTGAATTTAACGATGCATTTTGACAGTTATAATCAAATTTTATAATATGCTAAATTGAGTAAATCTTTTTAACCACTTTTTTTTTATTGGTTTTTTTAGATATACATGGTGATTTTTTTATCATAACCCCCTCAATTACTTATAGAATAATAATAATTTAAACATTTTTTTTTATTACTATCTTTAGTTACACATTAATCTTGAATTATTAACTATGTAATACTTTTTAAGTTCATCCCTTATGCCTGGTAAGGGTGTCAACTTTGTTTTTTTAAATGGTAACACATATTTTTAATTTAATAAAATGTTTGAGTTTTTAATTCAATAATAAATGGCATTTGAATTTTTAATGAAACTTAATTTGTTTATTAGATATATACATTTAAAGTTTCAAATTTTTGAGTTAATATATAGGTATAATACACAAGGGATTACAAATGAAGGTAACTAATTGATTTTGTATGACATCGATATTAGCAGGTACACAGCAATGTTATTATCAATGATAGTAAGGTACATTGTTGTGAGTTTATAAATACACTAACTGACAATACAAAAAGTACATCTATTGATAGTCACAATTGATAATAAACAATCCGTGACTGTGATAGCAATTCATAAAAAACCAATTAGCTACCTGTATTTGTAATCCCTTATATATTATACCTATATATTAACTCAAAAATTTGAAACTTTAAATGTATATATCTAATAAACAAATTAAGTTTCATTAAAAATTCAAATGCCATTTATTATTGAATTAAAAACTCAAACATTTTATTAAATTAAAAATATGTGTTACCATTTAAAAAAACAAAGTTGACACCCTAACCAGACATAAGGGATGAACTTAAAAAGTATTACATAGTTAATAATTCAAGATTAATGTGTAACTAAAGATAGTAATAAAAAAAAATTTTTAAATTATTATTATTCTGTAAGTAATTGAGTGGGTTATGATAAAAAAATCACCCTGTATAATCATTAAAATTAATTAAATTCTGAATATTTTAATTGTAGAATCTTTTTAAATACCAAAAGTTATTTAGAAATGATTTTTATTTAAGTGATCTATTACAATAAAAATGTAAAAAAAAAATTTGAACTTTTCTGATAAATGTACTGTAAATAGTAATTATAAAATTTCCTGATTGCATATTAATCTTAACAATTTCACTTTTTTTCTATTTAATAATGTCAATTTCAAACGTGCAAGTTGAGCTAAAAATTATGGTATTATTACCATTATTTATGAATTTATATTCATTTTTTTTTTTATTAAAACTTTCACTTTAAAGGACAAAAAAAGTAGGTTCAAAATGTTTACTTTTAACATATTAAAAATCAAACTCAATAATAATTTTAAAACAATTAATTTTAAAAATTTTATATTATAATTAAAAGAATTACTAATCTGGGTATAATTAAGGAAATAGAAGTTGATGTTGCTTTTGTAATCAATTTCTTAGAATTAAACACTATCTACAGATTTGCATCGAAGCGTTTCTTATGATAGTGATTTTAATCACTGTTAGATAAATCTATACTGTACCCAACTTTGCAACGTGCCCACTATGCCGCGATCCCACTGTGCTGGGCTTTTAATGAAAAAAAAATATTATTTATTAATAACCTTAAAAAAATTCAAATTATTAAATTAATGTTATTTTTTTGAAGAATAGAGCGTAGTTTTATAATATAAACACTTATAAACCTTAAATTTAAGAAATAAAAATAAAATGAAGTGTATACAGTTACATTAGAATGCTGTGTGTTTAATTTGTATATAATAATTTGATAACAATTGATTAGATATTTAATGTCTGAATTTTACTATGTGTAAACCGAGATAAAATTACAATATTCATCGTTTTATTTTTTTTTTTTAACAATTATGATTAACTAAATTTAGTCACAGATATTTATAAAAATGACAATATAATTCTGTAATAATTTATTCAGATATTTTTATATCTCCTAAAATTAAGTAAAGTAATAGTATCACATAAGAACAATACTTATTAAAGTCTTTATTTCTCAAACGAATTCGTCATATTTCAGTCAAACGGGTTACCATACATAACATTAAATAGTCAATAAAATATTGACAATTTTTCATGGACGACTTCATATAATTAACAAATTTTTGTCTTAAAATAAAAGTTTCTTATACAATTATTTCAACAAATACACTGAATATTTAATCAAGAATCTATAAGTTCAAAGAAAGACATTAACATCATTGCTAATATATTACCACGTATTTCTAAAAATCAAAATTTTTTTTTTTTTATGAAATGTCTGGAAACTTGTAATAGTACAATAAATTGACATTGTATCATTCATCTTTTTTTTCCGTAATATATGATACTACAATAACAACGATGCAATGCAATACAATGTCATAGACGCAACTAAAGCGATTACTAGGAGTACTTTAGCACCTCCTATTTCAAATTTAGCATACCTCAAAGAATTAAAACGCAATTCTTGATTTTCCCTATAAATATTGATGTAATTTATATTATAATTTTGTATTATTTCATTGTTGTAAAAATTATAATTTTAGAATAATTCAGAAAAGAAAGTTGTATTTTATCGGATAATTATAGACAACTAAATGTATTTATATACGTATGTAGATAATGATTTCATTGTATGATTTTATGATAACGATTATGAATAATGATTGCATCGTACTGTATAATAATCGTATTGTTTTCATTAACCATACCATTGTAGCGATACTAACCTGAGGATGTGGGAGGCGAAGCTTTCCACGAGTCTGCGAGTCATACCTATTTTTAGCATCCTCTAAAATTTTTATTTAGTTATTCTATATACAACGTATTTCTAGACATTTCATAACAAATACAATTTAGTGATGCATGGTATTTTATCTACAACGACGTTATGATGTTTACATAAAAAGCCAACTACACGTAAAAAATCTATGTTCCACATGGTTACAACAAAAACGTATTATTTAATACATTTAAAACAAACAATTTGAAATTCCTTTTTTCTAAGAGAAAATAATTCCCTAAAATATATAACAAAAAATGAGTTTTAAACAAACTAAAATAAATAAAATTTAAGTTTTTAACAAATTTTAACTATTAAGCTTAAATCTAATAAATACTAAAGTATATATCAAAACTTAGTCACTAACTTTGGACGTCAACTTAATGACATCCAAAATACTTGAATTCATAAATTACTTTAATTTGGGTTACAAAATTAGACGATTATTGAATTTTATTAACAGCAGTAGAAAACCTAATAGAAAACTTTAAAAATAAATATGCAACTTTATGATTAAATATTATTGTGAGTGCAAAGTTACATTTAGCCTCTCCAAAATTGGTTGAAACTAAACCTATGATAGCGATCTTTAAACATTTGTTAGATTATAATTCCTAGATTATAATTTCTACCTTATGATGTATTTTCCATTTAGATAAATAAGTATAAGTATAAATCAATTTATCTTCAGTAACACTCGTTTACAAAACAATGGAGGGTAACCAGAATTTTTTCTCGGGGGAGATACTGGAAACCTATGAGTAGGAATATGTGAATTATCACATGCTCTTAATAGCGCCAAAGTCACATACCATTAATAGTAATAATTGAACAATGGGCTGCTATAGCCACATCAGCCCCCCTTGACTACACTACTGATTAACAACTTTTTTACTGCGATATAAATAATAGAATTAATAAATGAAAATCTTAAAACAATCTAATTCTAAGTATGTTTGATCAGCTATAAAGATACAAATCGAAGTTTGTTTTATTTCAATAAACAAGTAGTAAGCAACCAAAAATGAATGATTTGCTTTTACATAAAACAAAAATCATGTATAATAAATTCATTTCATAAATGTATTGTTTATGAATTTGACTTTCATTTATTATACGTAACTAGGATTTAATTTCAAGGCATAAAGTCGTTTAAAATCAATCAACCTTTAAAAATCGTCTTTGTATAGAATAACCTTTCGAGTAACGATTATACTAATGTGTCTGCGTTAGCCAATAATTAATAACAATATAAAACGATATTCTTGAAAACCTTAATCCATATCATATCACAGAGTATGTTACACATAGGCGCAACTAGAGTAAACATTTTAAGAGGTACTAAATTAATTTCACTCTACCCTAAAAATATTTTATTTAACAATATATAATATATGTATATATTTCAATTTTTTGTTAAGCCCCAAATATAGCATACTTAGTTGCGCCTATGATGTATTCCAATCAAACGATTCGCTCAGCCATTTAAAAGAGTATGTATACGTTGAATAATTTCTATTTCATGAGACGCAATTATTCCTCTCGAATTGCAATATGTTTGGTTACTTGATTGTATTTTAGGTCCATAACTTAAAGATTTAAGACTAGCTGGACATACGCAATGACACACATCGCCACCTAAAGACAAAAGCATTGCGTGGGCCGCGCACGTATCCCACAAAAACGTAGTGTTCTTGGTCAATACATAACCACTAACTAGACCCAATGCAGTACACAACAATTTGTAACCGGCGCCAGATGCAGTTACCACTGTGTAACCGGACTGCTGTAATATCTTTGTGACAGCTTCTTCCTCGTTACTGCTCGTCAATACTACTTTTGGCTGTAACAATAAAACTAAAAGATTTATTTACTTATAATAAAATATGTTTTAGATTTTAATCTTTAGCACTTAATTTTAAATCTAGCGGTTCTTTTCAAATTAAAGGTGTAACCTTTACACATTTAAACATCATACACGAGTACATTAATATCAAGGCCTAAAAACTTGTTTAGAATAGGCTAAGATCTTAGATGAAGTGTAGAAATGATGACTAATCAGTGGTGTCATTTCAAATTATATTAGACTAGGGCAAACTTATGACCAGCCAATTATTCCATAAAGCAGTCGCTTCGCTTGCGATTTATCTCCAATAAATAAACCAATTAACTAATTTTATATAAAAAAAAAATTTTCCATGAATGGCTCTTAGATTTTTCTTTTACTATTTTAACATATATAAAATATATTTTTTAATGTTTTTAATAGTTTTAGGCTTCTGACATATAATTTTATCCGTTAAAACAAAAAACTTCATAGACAAGTTATTATTAATACGTATGTAAAATCGTAAGAACGTTTATGAAAAATCAAGCGATGACTTATAACTAAAAATTGAACTATCTATGATAACTATTCACACAGTGATTTCAAAATTGTGCAATTTATTAAATGTTATTGTGAAAACTATATTTTTGTTAAAAAGTAATATTTTCGCATAATTCACATTTTTATTTTATTTTATTTTTTTAATTAATAAAATTTTAACTTTTACTATATTTACATTTAAATGATACAGTAAGGCTCGATTTAGTACGAACATATTTTGACCGGCCCTGATCTGTACTGAAAAATTAGACTGGGGCAAATACCCAAGTTGCTCCTCGCAAATAAAGCCACTGTGACTAATAAAATCCTACATAATAGTTTATATTACTTTATAGTATAATAAATAATAATTAATATTAGAAGAAAAAATCATTTTCCGAAACAAAGTTGTAGATTTTATATCATATAACTAAAATATCAATTAGAAATCTATAAAATTTATCAAATTTAAACGAAACATTTATATCTTAATTAATTTATATATATATTTTAATTTTAATTAAAATCTAATAAACTAAAATTTTTAATTTAAAAATCACCAAAGAAAAACAGAATTTCAGTTTAAGTTCTCTTTCTTATTTAAAAAATTCCTAGCCTTATGCTGATTGGTGTTATAATTGACAACAAAAAGATTTACCGTATTTTCTTTAATGTTTGTAGGTAATGAATTTAGTTTATATTGTTCACTGCATATAGCCCAATAGCAATGTCCACTCCATCTGAAATAAGTCAGTAATAAATTGATGATAATCATAAAGAGACATTTTATTGTTTAGGAAAAACTGGAAAAAAATTTAATATGTTTAACTCTTAAACAGTCGCGTGGGGGTCTAGCATACCCCCACATAAATAAAACCGGATGTATTATATTGCATAAAAGGTGTACATAGATATAAATTTAGAAGATGGTTTTTATAGTAATATTGAATCGATTTTCATAAATAAATACCTTCAAAAAAAAAAATGTATGACTTAAAATATCCATCAAAGTTGAAATGGGTCATATTGACCCCCACGCGACTTGTAACGTTATAATTTTTTTTTGGACTTTTTTTCAAAATATCATTTTATTGTAAATGCAATGTTATAATCGATATAATATTGTGGAATTGGGATTATCTGTGGATCTGCCACCGGCTGTGCAATTAAGTTTTAAAAATAAATAATCTATTGAGAATTTCCACTACTCGATGATACGGAACAAATAAGAACAAAACATGTAATAAATCCATTGCGTCGCAATGCGGACACATTGATTATCGATAATCGATGTGCTACTAATTGTCTATACTCGTATCATAATAATTAAATGTATTGTAATATTAATAATAAAAAAATTCAATTCAGAAAAATGATAATATAAATGTAAATACACATAAAACTAATAAATATAAGCCTGTTTGAGCTTAAAGAAATACAAGAAAAATTAATTAAAATACATTTTGTAATAGTAAAAATTATTGTTAAAATGATTTCAATTATACACCGGTATAATGTTGAATTACATACTTTCCATTCGACAAAAGTTCGTGAAATGGCTGATTGATTACACCAGCTACGGGTCTTCCAGTTTTTTTATCAAACATACCGATATTGATTGTGACACACTGAAGTCCTTTTGAGCAAATTCCGTATTCGTTCTCTGTACACGCTGTTCCTACAATGTATTCGTTGGTCGAATCTGATAATAATAAATAAAATATGATCAGAATTTATTTAACCAAAAGTAATGAAAAAAGTTATACTATGACTATACCTGAACTGATATATTTATAAAATAGTATAAATAACTTGATCTTTTAGTAATTTGACTTATAAATAAAATTAATTAAAAGTAAAGTTAATTGAAAAGTTATTGTTTCAATAAACTTCAAATGAAATCTTTGACATGGGACTTATTTTAATTAAATTAATTAAAATAAACTTACCGATTGGGTCTATCCATACGCCGATTTCTTTAAGATTTAAACATTCTTTTTCAGGCGGTAATGTTTTGACATTAAGCTGCGCAAGTGTATATTTCTTGTGTGCTGCAACTGCCAAACTTCTGGCAGATTCCATGTCGTCATCTAAAGCCTCTAGTAGACATTGAAAAGTCTCATCCATTGAATCGCCTATTTTGATGGTTACATCATTGCCGCAATTATTTTGTATTTTGTCATTCTCTTCGCCAAAAACATTATTGGCCAGCTCTGTAAACTAAAATCGTAAATAATATTTAGAATGTGCTAAATGTTAAATACATTTATTTAGACAAAATTAATATAATTGATCATTAAAAGTGATTGAAATACTTGCAAATATCATAATTTAAAATATTCTCCTCACATAATTGTGTAATGTTTATAAACTTATATACTATACAGAGTTGAACAGATCTAACTGACAACTCTTACTGATAACTTTTGATTCAACAATCATTTCATTGTAACTTTCAGCTTCGAAGTTAAGCTATTAATTTTACCATGACGTTTTTTTTAGCGTGTCTTACATAACAATTTTCAGCTCTCAATAAGCCGATTTTGATGATCTGTACGTCAAAATAACCCGAATTTAATCTAATTGGAAATATTTATTTCTAAAACTGAAAAACCACCAATTCAGAAATTTCGATCAAATAAAAATCTCTGCATTTTTAAATTTTTATAACTTTTTTTTTTTAATCACTGATCTTAATGAAATTATAATAAAATATACTAGAGACAATAATTTAATTAATAATAAAACAGTAAAAATGTATTTTAGTATACCTTTTGTAAAAATCCAACGAAAACCTTTAGTACAGGAAGGATTTAACAGAGACCTATTTGAAACACCTGTACTTTTTAAAGACTTACATAAATAACTAAAAAAAAATCAGAATAATCAAAGTGAACTTGTCTTTTTTTATCATTTCTATGTAAAAATAACAATACTAAATTATTGAATATGAATTTCATACCAATTTAACTTCTATATTAAATATTTTTCATGTGTTATACTTATAAATCATAGAAATTGTAATAAGGATATAATTTAAAAAATATGAGTTAATGTTATTTTTAAAATAATCCAAAAATTCCATCTAAAAATTTGAAGTTAGGGAACGAGAGGTTTGCAAATCAATAACTTCGACAGTAAAATAATATAACAATTATTTATACAAAATCTATATGTTAACGTTAAAAACTGATCAATTTTATGCATATTTTATTGATCGAAGATATGATAACATTAAAAAATAATAATTAATAAACAGTATTTATTTTAAAAATAATCTAATGTATGCAGAGTTATAACTTGAAAACAACCATAAGTAAATGTTTTAGCAAATTTTATTGAAAATTATAACTTATAAATATTCATTACTTACCAACAGTATTTCAAAAATTACAAAGTTTGTTTTTAAACATACTGACGTTATTTATTTTTAGTTAACAATAAACTTGAAATGATTTTCTATAGAAAATTATTTTTATTAGTATACTAGTTGCTTTTTTACATAAATAATTGTTACAAAGACATATTTTTTTAATTTGAAATAGAAATTTATTGAATTTTTATAAAACAACTTTTTGATGATATACTTCAACAAAACATAATATAATAATTAAATGAAACAATGTTTTTTTAAATTAACTAATAATCATATAGCATTAAGTTTTACTATTTAAAATAATATTTTTTATACTTATGTAGGAATGTTTTCAAAAAAATTGAGTTTAGTACTGTACACATTTCTTAAGAGGATTACCTATAGATAGACAATTTTAAAAAGGTCGTATATTATGAGCTCTACGAACATTTTGCGAAAATCTACATAAAAATATAGAATTAAGAATTTGTTATACAAAAATGAGAAAAAAATGTGAAAACCTTGAATTATTTTATTAATAAGTCACAACGCCGTTGTCTTTTTAGTCGACGTCTAGTATATACTAATATATTATTTTTAATATAATATTTTGATAAAATTGAAATTTGGTATGAAAGCGTTTGTAAAATTAAATAGCTTCTTCTGTTACAGTTTTAATATGGAGGTCTTTACGTAAGTTATAGTTTGATGTAAGAGGTGGGGTATTGGTTATGTTTTTTAGAGAAATGTTCTGGAATTTTTGAATTTCGTGATTATTAAATTTCTTTGCCATACCCCATAATTGAAGACCATCAAATTGGTTTAATGAGTAATTTATAAATTTATATTTTGGTTTTTAGTTTTATATGTTGATTGCTTATTAAAAACGGCCGTAGTATTACGAATGCGTAAGTTTAATGAAAGTCTTTTTTTTATGAATATGGGTGCTCTATGTAATCGTTTGTCAAGGGTTAAACCTCAGTATTTAACTGTATTGCACGAAGGAATGGGAATATTATTTAGAACGACTTTAGGACTATAGGAGTGTCGTAATATAAAATTTGTGTGATCCGATTTGCACTGATTAGGTTTAATACGCCATTTATTGTACTATTCAGACATAAGGTTAAGATGATCTTGCAAGTTTCCAGAGGAAATAATTGATTTTCATGAGTTGAAATTATGACTTTATCGTCTGCATAATCAACTCTGTGTGCAATTTAGTGGGTTAATCTGATGAAAAAATATTAAACAGAATAGAGTATAAAAGCCACCTTGGTTAAATCCCACATTTATTTCTTCAATTTTTGAGATTGCAGAGCCAAACAATACTCAGTCAGTCAAATACTATTTTATTAAAAGATAAAATAAAGAAGAAAGAAATTTTTTAGTTTGTATAACATAAAGTTCAGATCAGTAATTACCACTAGAGGGGAAAATATTAGAGAGTTTATTTCCAATAATATTTGATTTATGCTTTGAAATATGTTTGTTAAGGAAGTTGGCTAATTTATTACACAAGACTCAATGAAAGAGTAAACGAGTTTAATGATAACACGCTCTAGCTCTACTTTTTTGTACAATAAGTAGTTTTATGTGGATAAGCAGAAGAGGATATTTCAAAAGGTTATTATTTGAAGATTGAATAACCTGAAATTTAAAATATTATTATGTGTTAAATGTAGATATTAGATTTATTTTTAATGAGAAAGATCTTAAACAAATCTATTATGTTGAGTTACATTATTTTGACATTAATTATAAATAATTACATAAAAGAATTTAAAATATTATTATTGGTCTTTTAAAAGTATTTTTACCACAAAAGTACATTCATTTTCAAGGTTATACTATGCCAAAAATCTTTTAGAAATATTTTCTGTACACTATTTACAGAAGAAGATTTTTATCGCCTTTCCAAAAGGAACTGATTAAATCACGGGAAATAAAAGGATAATATCATTTAATTATGTATGTGTGGCGTTTGATTCAATAATGATATTTTTTTTTTAATATGATTTATACTTATAATTGTTATATTATATAAATATGAAACTATATTTGATAAATAAGTAAAAAATTAACAAATGTTATCATTATTAAATTCAAATAACACACGATAAACAATATTATTGAGTTGGAGTATTTAATTATTATTCTTCAATTACTTTTAGCTTCGATGCGAAGCTGAGAAGGTATTGGTTTTACTATGATGTGTTTTTTTTTTTTTTTTGTGTCTGTTACCACTTTTTCTCAGCTCTCACCGAACGGATTTCTTTCAACGATACGTCAAAAGATCACAAATCGTATCTAGTCGAAGAAATTACCCTTAAAAAGTGAAAAAATTTCCCTCGTTCCCCGTAAATGGGGGAAACCTCCAAAAAAATTACAAATTTAAAAATCGCTAATTTTCGAAATTTTTTCAATTTTTTTTACTTAAAAGTGCCATAACTTTTTCAAAAATAAACATATCAATATAATTCTTTTTTATATAGATGCATAATATCATTACCTTTCATTTGGTATATTTTTTTCATAAATTTAACCCTTAACCTGCCCACAAGGGGGGATTTAAAATGACAACTTTTTCACAAAAAATTTACTTTTTCAACATAACTTTTGAAAATGTTCCGGAAGGTCTGACACTTTTATATATATCTTAAATTAAAGCTAATGTAATATACTTTAATTTGAAAATAAAAAATTTGACCTCTGGACTTGTCTTCACGGCGAAAATGGCTACCGAATGCTATTTTCGTGTGAAAATTCTCGATTTTATTATTTATATAATATTTAACTTTATAATGCTATAACTTATTGAAAAGTTTATGGATCCACACAATTTTTTTATGAGAAATAAATTTTTTAATAAACCCTTTTTCATTTGACATACTTTATCTTTATCGAGATATTAATAAGGAACCAGCAGATCAAGTAGCTTTTGGAATAAAACACCAATTTTTTTTAAATTAAGCACTATCTAAAGATTTGAATCGAAGCGTTTATTTTTGATAGTGATTTTAATCACTGTCAGATATCATTATACTTGATCCATTTATACCACGTCACAACTGTGCCGCGACCCCTCTGTGCTGGGTTTTTAAAAATACAAGTGTTATGAACATCTTTTTTTAGTTTTTAACCAACTTAAAAGTTGACACAAAAGTGAATGTAGAACAAAATAATTATTTTGTTATTTCTTAATTATTTTATAATTGATTATAATCAATCAAAATAAATCTTAACACATCTACTACACCCGTATTATTTAATTTTCTCACGAGTTTTTAAGCTTTTCTAGACTAACGAATTCGTACTACGTCTAGTAATTCATTCAAAAGCACTATATTTTTTACTCTACCTGTCGACCAATACGCTTGGCTACCACTCTCTGTACTAACACATCTGCCAGCGTTTTGAAATCGTGCGCGAATCGACCGCGATTTGCATCGTCTCCGCTCTTTTCTTGTACTAATAAAGACAATAATTTGGTATTCGACCGACATTGTCGAGCAATGTCAGCAGCCGTTTCGGATACCAACAACGCACATTGAATCAGCGATTGTGAAACGTCAGACATGTCGACGACACACGAGACAAATGCGTTGTGCGTGTGGCAAATGTTTGTAGTGCCGCCGCTAAAAATCAATCACACTAAATGCAACTACTTCAGATCTATGCGCGTGTGCGCTCCCACTTGGTGGTATTTCTCTAATAACTATGAATATATCATTGATTTTTTATTTATATATACACTTTAATATCTCATTAATCCATTACACTAAGTACATTTTTATATTTTATTAAGTATACCTAATAGTAGTAAAAGTCTTCTGAAGAAAATTTAATAAACTGTTCAATTCAATAATAATAATTTTGACAAACGATAATTATTATCTTTTCTCGAAATGAAATATTTTTAAATCTGGCACAGTCAACTCAGTAATGATTGATGTCTGTCAGTGATTGACATCACTATCATAAAATGATTCAATGCAATTGTTTATAAAGAAAAACTTAAAAAATTTGTAAAATTTTAACCGAAATCTTGACTGTTATGGAAAATTAATAATAAAATACCAGTCGCCGGAGCGCTTCTCTATTTTAGAATTAAAGTGAATTAAATAAGCTTTAATTTAATATGGGTAAAAGGACACAGATGTTCTGTAACATTTTCAAAAAATGAAATGAAAACAATTCGTGTGCGTCAGTGGCCTTGTTTATACCTTTTCTGTACTTAGGATTTCAATCAAAAAAGTTTTTTATCTCTAGTTTTGTTAAAATTTCACAAAAATTAAATTCTATTAGTATTAATATTTAAATAGATAACAGATAGATCTCTTTTGGTTTTAATTTATTATGAGTTAAAATAATTATTAAATAATTAATAACTCTGTTGTTATCCATGTTTAAGTTTAATTACAGGCGCTCAATAATAAAACAATAATAACTTCCATGAAAAAATTTAATCCTATAGTTTGCGCGAAAATATGTGATTTCTTTTGTTCTTTTCTCAATACATACATGTATTGAGCATGTTTATTTTTCATTAATATATATTAGTATTTAAAACACCTAAAATTTCAAAATTAACATTAGTCAAATGAGACGTTTTAAACTGTTTACTTATATTTTAAACGGGTTTTTTTTAAATATCTTTTTAAAAATCCTGAAATATAGACGAGTGTTCAATAATTCACAAACTTTAAAATGCTTTTGAAAATACACTATGTTTATCTTAATATTTTTCACAAATTAATAAAAAAAAAATTATTTTGTTTGATAAATTTCAAAAAAATTATTTATAATGACATTTTCATAGTTCGCAAATTATACAATATTAATTCAAAATATTTAGTAAATCAAAAATTATTGGATAATTATCGTCTATATAAACTGCGGCGTATTTAGTGGGGGGCACGTGCCCCCGTCCCCCATTGACTGAGTCATGTAAATATTTTATCAAGCAATGTGATAATGTATAATATCATTATAAAAAGTATTTTTTTGGTTATCAATAATAACATGGACTTATGAAATGTTAATCGATATAATTGTCTTGTGAAACAAAATTTGACGCTCGCGCAGTTGTCCCGTTAATGTTATCGCCTATTTTTGAAGTGTTTAATACGTAATATGTATTAACAAAAGTTATGAGCAAAAAAAAATGTCGTTTTATGGTACCTTATTTTTAAACGTTTTTTGTGCCCCCCCCCCATTATGAATTTTTAAATACACCACTGTTTATACAGTAGGTCAAAAAACTCTCCGTACACCGATGTCAAATTTTTTCGACAACATAAAATAGGGACTCAAAAGTTAAATAACTTGGTATTTATAACACACATTTATTCAGAGTGCATGTCATCATTGTTTCTGTAGCCATTAAGGACGGTTGACAAACGCTTAGCGCGTTTTATTCAGTTTATATACATTGAACAATGGAGATACCAATTGCAATTCGCAAATTAGTAATTAAACTAAGAAAAGATGGTAATTATCTTAGAAATATTGCATAAACAATAAATAAAGCAAGTTATGGCGTGGAGAAAACCTAACAAGCAAATGGATTGCAATAATTTGTGCCCAACGTTAAAACATGGGGGTGGTAATGTATTAGTTTGGGGCTGTATGAGCTCTGCAGGTGTTGGTAATTTGGTATTTATCGATGGTATAAAATATCAACATGTTTGTTTAAACATTTTGAAAAATAATTTACATGCAGGTGTTGAAAAACTAAATGTTGGCAATTCGTTTATTTTTCAACAAGATAACAACCCAAAACATACCGCGAAAAAAGTTAAAGAATGGTTATTATACCGAGTACCAAAGCAACTTAACACACCTCCGCAATCATTAGACATGAATCCTATAGAACATTTATGGGATAAAATGGGTAGACATCTAAAAAATTATCAATCTCGAAACAAAGAACAATTTAAAACAGCAATTCTTGAAGTATGGAACAGTATTAACTAGTGATAAGAAATATCGAACTATTCGATAGTGATTCAAAAAATATTCGAATAGTAAAAATATTCGATAATTACACAATATATTTGAATAGCTTTTAAAACTATTCGATAGTTTATGCTAAAAATAAACTATTTGGTTGTATAAACACAATTCGAATAGTTATACGATAGTTTAAAATAATTGAAAATGCCGAACACTAATTTTTACTATTATTAATTGTATAATAATTTATTTTAAGTATTCGTTAATTATCTTTTTATTATAATTCAGTGTACTTAATAAAAAATTTTAGATAGAACTAATCGAATATTTTTAAAACCATTCGGTAGCCTATTTGAAAAGTTTTTAAAACTATTCGATAGTTTATGCTAAAAATAAACTATTCGGTTGAATAATAACAATTCGAATAGTTATTCGATAGTTTAAAATATTCGAAAATGTCCATCACTGGTATTAACTCAACTGTTACATCAAAATTAGTAGAATTCATGGAAAACCGTATGAATGAAGTTTTTAGGGCTAAAGGAGGGTCAACTGATCATTAATGATGATAATTATTATAATTAATTAAGTTAAAAATATTAATGTTAATATGTACGGAGACATTTTTGCAATTAATTTTCTAAAATTCTTTATTTATATATAAAGTAAACATATTAATATATATGCTTTATTTTTTTTTAAAACAAATATTAACATGTTTTTGAATAAATATGTGTTATAAATATGAACTTTATATATAAATATAACTTTTGAGTCGCTATTTTATGTTGTTGAAAAAATTTGACATCGGTGTACAGAGACTTTTTTGACCCACTGTAAATAATATTACACTTAATGTAAGATCCATTGTAAACAAATAAAAGCCACAACACGAATCACTTTCAACACACAAAATCTACTATGTCAATAAAAAAATAACATATGTACCTATTATGTATGTAATTCTTGTACATATAATAAAAATCAAATATCTATATTAGGGTGGCCCTTAAAAATCGAATGTCTTTTTTTTTTTTACGCTACCCCTTAATTTTTTTTTAATGGTCAAAAAAATGAGCTGTGCAAAATTTGGGACCGATCCGTTAAGGTTAACCCGTGCCCCCGGGCCTATTAAGTTGAGTCGAAGAGTCAAATTTAATAGAAATAACTGATCTATGTCTTATAACTTTTTTTTCTCTTAACTTAGAATAATAAAAGTAAAACTCAAGTAAAGGAAATTTTACAAGAAATTCAAAAATAATAACTTCAATGTTGTTTTCTCAATAAATAGCCCACAAAAACACTACATACAGTAAAAAACATGTAAAAGTCTTAAAATACGTTATAACTGATTTTGTTGATTTTTAATTATTTATTTTCATTTTATTTTTTGGAAAACGCATATTCGTTTAAAAAAAGATTCTAGAAGTTTAATTTTTTATGCCAAGTACGATAATTATATTAGATTTATTATTTTATGGACAGTTAATTAATGATTAATTACAAACCTAACAGTTTAATTTAATTGTTATTAATAATTTTTAATTTTTTTTTTTTTTAAATAATAATAACTTTAAAAAAAATATTTTAACAATAATTAAATTATATTATTATAATATATTTTTTGATAATGTACTTTTTTTACAATTAGGAAATTTTTTCCGATAATTACTTACTATTTGTAAAACGTATTGTTTCTGTTCTTCATTTGTAGTTAATATATTAATGTAGTCTTAGATTAATTTAATGCCACGCTAGGCTGTATCATTAATGACTCGTAATTTACTTATAGTATTTAAAGCATTTATGTAACTGTTGTTCGCACTCCAAAATGATGGATCAATTTTCAAAAAATCAGTGTTCAGATGAAATAGTTGTAAATTTGATGATATCTTACTACCAGTAATTTCGTGGTAATAATTACCAATAATATAAATATTAGTTCGTAATATTTTAAAGACGCTAAAAGTATTGTACATTTGTGATTAAAACGTATCATTTAATATATAATAATAAACAGATAAAATATATTTAACGTGTTCACAAATTGTCTGCTGCATTTATACGACACAAATTATGTCAGTTGTCGAAAATAACTCAAATATTCTTATCTTTAATAATAATATAATTGGTACTATCTTAAAGTAATTCAGTAAACCAAAATTGATATATTGATACGACAAAATGTAATAATACAATCAATTTTGTTAAATTTGTAATTAATCATTAATTAACTGTCCATAAAATAATAAATCTAATATAATTATCGTACTTGGCATAAAAAATTAAACTTCTAGAATCTTTTTTTAAACGAATATGCGTTTTCCAAAAAATAAAATGAAAATAAATAATTAAAAATCAACAAAATCAGTTATAACGTATTTTAAGACTTTTACATGTTTTTTACTGTATGTAGTGTTTTTGTGGGCTATTTATTGAGAAAACAACATTGAAGTTATTATTTTTGAATTTCTTGTAAAATTTCCTTTACTTGAGTTTTACTTTTATTATTCTAAGTTAAGAGAAAAAAAAGTTATGATACATAGATCAGTTATTTCTATTAAATTTGACTCTTCGACTCAACTTAATAGGCCCGGGGGCACGGGTTAACCTAAACGGATCGGTCCCAAATTTTGCATAGCTCATTTTTTTGACCATTAAAAAAAAATTAAGGGGTAGCATAAAGAAAAAAAAGACATTCGATTTTTGAGGGCCACCCCAATCTATATAAAGATGTTTCGCTAAAAACCCGGAATTATAAAAGATAAGTCATTATCACAACATGAAGTGATTTTATTAACAATAAAAATTTGCGATGAAATGGATTTATAATCAATCCATCATGAAATTATATTAACTTTTTAAATGACGTCTACTTTAATAGTCTGCCTCATGTACTATTTGCTGTGTATGACTGTTGGTCCTTTGTCCTAGACTTCCCTAAACTCCATTCCACCTATCATTTTAATATTTTAATTACCGATGTATCTCCACTAAAATTAAATTAATAACAAAATATTATTTGAAAATTCATCCAATAAATTCAATCCAAAAAAACCCAGTACAGTGGGGTCGCGGCACAGTGGGGATGTGACATAGTTAGGTCAAGTATAGTGATATCTGACAGTGATTAAAATTTATATCATAAAAAACGCTTTGATGCAAAACTATAGATATTGTTTAATTTAAAAAAATTGGTGGATTATTCCAAAAGCTACATAATCTCTTATTTCATTATTTATATCCGGATTACAAGTTTTTCCATAATAAAGTATATTACATTAGCTTTAATTTAAGATATATATAAAAGTGTCAGACTTTCCAAAACACTTTCAAAAGTTAATTTTTTGTGAAAAAATTATCATTTTAAACCCCCTCTCGTGGGCAGGTAAAGGGTCAGATTTATAAAAAAAATATACCAAATAATAAGTAAAGATATCATGCATCTATAAAAAAAAAATTATATTGATTTGTTCATTTTTGAAAAAATTATGGCAGTTTTAAGTAAAAAAAAATGAAAAAATATCGAAAATTAGCGATTTTTAAATTTGTAATTTTTTTGGAGATTTACGGGTTTTTGACAGTCAACAAAATGAAATTATAAATATCATGATGTGACAATCTCATTTTGTACCATTTCATTACTTTTTTATTAAAAAACAACGAAACTAGTAATAATATTTAAAGTGTGTCAGTCATAAATGATGATGTTATATTTATTTTTTCTGGACACGTCATTAAAAATAAAGTTCACGGACAATAGACGTCATAATTATTCTATACAAACCTCCTGATAATTTTATTTTATTATACTAAAATTAAATATTTTGAACCTAAACATATTAAGTTCATTTACAGATTAAGACTAGGAGTTTTCTTCAATCAACGCTACTTTCATACAATAATTTCACTATTTTGTTTTCTATAAGTGGGAGCTGCCGAAAAATTGTAATATACATTAAATAACGTACATAATACATTAAAGAAAATAAAACTATTCAACACTACTTCAATTGTGTCATATTTAATTCCTAACCAAAAACCAAACAGGTAAGGTAATATTTATATTTACTTATTTTTTTTTGTAATAAATAAATCAAGTTTTTTTAACAATTTTCTAGAACTAAACCAACTTAATTATGATTATCAACTTAAATTATGTACGATTGCGCAACAATTTATAATTATCCAATGGATTCTATAACAAATATTGTGAAGGACATTACATGTTATTCCTTTTTTCATTTTTTATTTAAATTTCTTAGTATTGAAATGTATTGTAAAAATTAAATAAAAATATTTATAATTTATATTTGGTTTAATTAAAACTATATATCATTATTAAGAAAACTATACACATGAAGCTTAAATAAGTCTTTCTTTTAAATTTATACTGCCTCTTTTCGATTGCCAAATTTACCTTTTAAGCATAATAAGATTATAGCTTTTTTGGGCAAACTCTGTCAATAATATAAAAGCATTACAAACTCATTATAACAAATATTATAACAAAGCATTACAAATCGGAATAGCCACTCATTTTCTTTGGGTATTAATGAGTTTCTTATCATTCCTTATCAGTTTAAAAAGTCAATGATTCAATAAACTTAAAGGTATCAATATTTAATATTAGCTAAATATAAATCAAACTTAATACCTATTTTATGGAAAAGTCAATTTTTTTTAAATAAGTAAGTTTATATTTAAGGAATTATTTATACAATAAGTCTATTGAATATTAATAATATCTAATAAATTTCGGTTAGATTATTTTCATTTTTATTCATATGTTCATATTAACTGAAATTAAATATTGCATGTTTTTTTCTAATTTTTAAAGTTTCATTAAAAAATTCAAAAGAGTCATATTACTCTACGAGGTATCAGATTGTGACTCAAAACTTACATAATATCTATATTTTGCTTACTCAGTTAATGTATGTGCATAATGAAGTTCAATTGATGTATTATATTATTTTCTTTTTATATTTCGGTAGTCTATTTAGATCAGCCATCAAACCATCGTGCTTTGGTGTGCAGGTACCAGGGTTGTCATCCATTGCACTAAGCTATATAGATTTCTTTTTCAACTATCACAAACATAGCATATATGAGGGGATGTTAAATATTAAAAAAATAATATATGAATGAAAAGTAGGAAGGTTATATAATGATCAGAAAGATGCCTACCTAATTTTTATAAAACTTTAATTTAAAAAGTATGTTATATAAATCATAATAAAAATATTGAAATAATACATTGGACAGTATTTAAAAATTGTGCTGTTTGGGTTTTAGAAACTGTCACCATATAGAAACCTAAAATATTTTTCACTCTCAATTTTTTTTTTTTTTTTTGAAGTTATCAGCAGAAAAAATGATTTTCATTTCATAGAATTCACATTTTTTAACAATATTACTGCTAATATATTCTTCAATATTGCCCACCAACCTATGGCACATAAACCTAATCCCTCCTTTAAATGGGACACTGATAGTATATTCAATTCTTTAAGATTGTAAAACAAGGCAATTATTATTATTATTATTAAAAATAAATACATTGAAATGTAATACATAATATCATTATTTATACTGCAACAGTAAATATCTCAGATTTACAGGTTTTCAAGATAATCATTTGTTATTAGTGAATTATATAACCTTTTTGTCTTGTTTTTAGTGACATATACAAAGAGCTATAGTCCCTTCATATGTTAATAATTATTATTAACAATATATAACTAATTCTAGTAAAAGAAAGTATAAGGCAAAAAAGGACCAACTCAAACTAACCCAGCCCCTTATGCTAAATCCTTACTATGCTACTGCTTATTTTAGTAAAAATAAATCTAGTAAACATTTATTTATAGAAAAACAACTAGATTTATTTTTATTTTTAGAAAAAGGTGAATACCATGGCATCTACTTCTACTCAAGATACTTCTGAACCATGTTTTATAATTAGGACCAATACTGACAAGTTCTTTGAAATCCTCCGTAATGCTAGAGACTTAGAAAGGCAGAATAAAATAAATTTAGTAAGTTTTCATACATCTTTATTGTTTATTTATTACTTAACATAATCTATTAATTATTTAACAGGCATTATTAGAATATGAGAAATGTTTGACTACTATTGATGATGTTTTAATGGTTTCTTTACCTCGTTCAACTAACCCAAATTCTGAATGGATTGCAGCAGATAACACTCGACAATACTTGAAAGCAGAAAAGTAACTATATATAATTTAAAATATATAATTATAGTTGACATAATTAAACCTTGTTTACTACATTTATTTTTTACTTTATTAAATAGAAAAGAAATTTTAAATAAAATTGTTGAATTGCAAAAAGACAACGGTTCTACAATGTATGTTGATAGGCCAATACAGAGTCCACCCTCATATCAAGAAACTATTTGTTCTGATGAAAAACGTTCAAATGCATCAGATCATGATAATGACACTAATATGCCAGAAATTTTAATTTCTTACAATCAATTAAATTCTATGTTAAGTGATTTACAAAGAGACTTAGAAAAAAATTCTTCAACTACCTTGCTTTTTAGTTGTTCTGACTCTCAAATTTTTTTCATTCCAATTGATGGTCAAGTTTCTTCTCCCTTAGAAAAATCTACAGTTAAAATCATCATGCTTGAAGGTATATGTTATTATAATTAGATTATAGATAATTATAATATTTAATCTATAATTAGATAATTATAGTTTAAATATAATAATATTATATTCATATTATACATGTCAAATTGAAAAGTAGTATTAATAAATTGTTTTATAACAGGTATTAATGAAAATATCCCGGCTCGATATTTTCTTTGTGTTGATGATATATATTACCCATTAGTTCAAAATGTTTCTCCATGTCTTCGAACCAATTATGGAGCATTTGTATTTCCTGATATTCAAACCAGCAACACATCTATTGGTGTTCTAGTTCCCTCTGAGCATCTAGATCAGTTAACAGATATTTTGGAAGATATTCTACAAAAGTCATTAAGAACAGACTCTGCTCGTGAGCAAGGGCGTAAAATATCTGCCCATATTGTTAAAGGGGCAACTTTTTTTTCAAATAGTCTAGTTAAAGGAGCTGAAAAAACCTCAGAATTTATAAATAATTCTACACCTGGGTTATTAAATTACATTACACCTGCTCAACATGAAAAATGTGTAAATCAAAAAGTAGAAAAAGGAATTAAAACTGCTAAAAGTGTAACTGCTACAGCTGCAAGTGTAACATGTTTTTTTGGTATGTATGTTGTGAATTTTCTTTTCTTTACTTTAACGTTTTGAAACGAGTTTAATTTGTTTAGCTGAGAAAATAGGATCAGCTTCATATGAGCTAGGAAAGTATTTAGCACCTCATATACAAAAAGGAGGTACAAAAATTTTAAGTGGAGTAACTGGTATGAACTCAAATGATGCATCAAGACAAGTATCAAATGCATTAGACATTGCAGCTGGTACAATTGAAGGATTTGGGATTGTTTATGATGGATTAGAAAAATCAGGAATTTTACTGGGTAGCAGTATTAAAAATAATACAGTTTTAATAGTTCGTCATAAGTAAGTATCAAAACCATGTTTAAAATTAAAAATGTATTTAAATTAATATTTAAATAAATTTTTTTATCTTAAACAATATTGGCCATAAGTAATCAATTCTTGTTGTATTATTACCATAATTATTTTTATTATTGTTTTAAAACTATTTATTAATCCTTAATAGATATGGACATAATATCGGAGTTGTTACTGAAGACACATTTGATACTGTTGGACATGGAATATGGCTCACAAAAAATATTAAAGATTTAAAGCCAAAGAATATTGTCAAAAATACTGCAAAACAAACTGGTCGCGCTCTTGTTGTTCCAGAAAATGATTAATAGTCATTAATAATGAAATTTGACCATGTAATCAAATCATATTTAATAGGCTATTATAAATTCCATTTTCTAATATTTAAATAAATTGAATAATGTTAAATTTAATTTTTTTAATTATTTTTATCTGTATCTTAAATAGAAAAATTGAAAAATTTAATAATATTATCATTGTTTTTATTTTTATACGTAGTTATACATTTTATTATTGGTGTAAAGTTTTTATTTTGATAAAAGGTGTTTTATTGTAAATTTATTGATTATTTTTGTATTAGAGAAAATTCAATGAATTATATTACCAAAAATATTTATATATGAAATATCTATATCAATACATTACATAGATAGTTGTATCCACTGGCATGATCAAAATGTGAAAAATTTGCACAAAAATTGTAGTATAATATTTTATTTACATTGATATTATCGAAGACATTTTTAAAAACTTAAGTCAAAAAAATTATGCTGCTATGTCCCATACATTTTTCATTTATTACCACGTTTTATGATCTCTTTTTTATTCTCCTAATTAAAAAAAATTGTATTGTTACCTCTTCTTCTTTTACCTCCCATTATTCCAACGACTTGGGGTGCGCTACTCTTATCCAAAACTTCAACTTGACACGTTCTCCCACATCATATTCGATAACATCTATCCATCTCTTATTTGGTCTTCCTCTACCTCTTCTTTCTTCAACATTCATTTCTATAACTGTTCTTGCAGCTATCGATTCTTCTCTCATATAATGACCAAACCATCTAAGTCTATTTCCTCTCATCTTATCCCTGATTGACGCTACACCTATATTCCCTCTTATATGTTCGTTACTTATCCTTTCTTCTCTAGTCACTTCTTTCTTTGCTCTACTTTTTTATCAACCGCCCAACACTGAACCATACATCATAGCTGACCTCATTACAGTCTTGTAGAATTTACCTTTCAGCTTCATTGGAATTCTTTTATCGCATAACACACCAAAGACTTCTATCCACTTTAACCACCTGCACTTAATCCTGTGTCTTACATCCTCATCATAACCTCGCCTATTATCACTGAACTTCTTATTTCACCAACCTCGTGTTCTCTTTTGTTAAACTCGTACTCTATATACTCTTACTCATTCTTAAACTCTTTTCTTCAAGAGCTGATCTCCACACCTCTAGCCTTTGATTAATTTTCTCCTATTAACATTATATCATCAGCGAACAACATTCACCACGGCACCTCTCCTTGTATTTCTCTAGTAATTTCATCCATCACTATAGAGAATAAGTAAGGGCTTAAAGCAGAACCTTTGTGCACTCCTACTCTTACCCGAAAACCTTCAATGAATACATTCGTTTTATACAAAATAATATTAAACAAAAATATTTTTTAAATTTATGTATGAGGCATTATTGAGTCAAAAATTTCTTTGGACAAATAATACTTTAATATTAACCCCAAAAATTTTTTATATAAATGAACCTTCTTGTTCTTAAAAAATTTGTTATAGATATTCTGAGGGCGAGTTATTGATTATAATAATTTATTATATTGATAAAATTTTCTCAGGAATTTTTTACAAAGCAGTAGTACAACTTAAGTTGCAGAGATTCCTAATCAAATTTCAATTGGTTTACTTTTTTTCTTCAATTTTTACTGAAAATATGATACATGTCATCTTTTCTCTAGAGTCTATGATACCATTGATATTAATTCATGGACTATATCTACACTAGTAGTTGGATTACTGTCCATATAACCAAATGTTTTAAAAAATTGTATTTACTTCAGGAAATTCTGTCAAATATTAATGTTAAAAAAAGAATACGTTTTACAATTGATATTTATGATAATTCTTTCATTCAAACACTAATTAATGTTACAAGAATAAACTTGAATATTCATGGTATTTAATTTTAGTTAAAAAAAAAAAAAATTAAGTATATGCAAAGTAGAAAATTGAATTGAATGCAATAACTATTTAAATTGTAAAATTTTACGCAATAACAGTTTTGTAACACAATATGAAAAATTTCCAACAGTAGATAAACAATTATTTACTGATAATAGTTTTTTAAAAGTAAAAATCGTTATCCTAATCACTAGAGGACGACACATAGCCTGGCCCAAAGCCTACGTGAATAACGGCTAGCTGGTCCAGCATTGAAAATATTGAAATGCCAAAACTGTCTGTATAATCGTAGATAAACTTAAGTTCTTCTATAATCGTGCACAGACATTACGATTCCTTATCAATTAACCAGATTATAGAAAACCTTACCACAGAAAAGGTTTATCTTAGCTGTGACCCTAGAGTAGTAATCTCCCTCTATATCCTATTTTATATTACTCTATGCTGTGACCTTATCTTTTCTGTGGTATAACCGTTTTATGATAACTTATCACTTCTATTATTGTTAACAAATACGTTACGTTCTCTAACTTTACTCTTTGAACATATAGTATTACATTTAAGATCAACATCACAAAGAAATAACTTATAATATTAATTACAACTTTAAATAACATTAATTATTCAAAAAAAAAAAAAATTATGAATTAGAATAATTTAAAGCAATGTTATTAAATGGTTTAATTTCAATACAGGATTTATCAATACCTGGCCAAACTCAAATCCGTCCTCTTCGATCTTCCTTATTGAGTAAACAAGTGAATGGCGTGTATTTTCTAACCATTAAAAACTCAATGTATCCAAATTGTATCAATTACAAAGTTGCAGATTTAGAAGCAGTACATACTAAATTTGTAAAAGACGGTAAAGCAACTTTGCGATTTAAACAACCAAAACATCAAATTTTATTAAATGCTGATGACCGCAATATGTTATTTATGTTTTTACGTCAAATTCAAGACATTATTAGTGGGAAAGATGTTAAAATTGGAACACGACAAATTCCAAAGAAAATACCTTCTAAAAAAGATGTAAATCGGTTTGATCCTTCAGCCCATGAGTTTATTGCAGCTGATCGATTTGACAAACGCATATTGAATATGAGACAGCTTCATTCATTAATCTTAGAAAACTGTGTACTTCCTTCATTACCAGAACATATTGGTGATCTACCTATTTCTTTACTTAGTTTAACAGGCAGTAAACTTGCTACAGCATCACAATATGATCAAGACATTTATTGGAATTGGATGTCTAAAAACACTATCAGCAACACGTTAACAAGCCTAAAAATGGATTCGGTGAATTTGAAAATTCTACCTTTTGAAATAATGTTTTTAAAAAAACTGCAAGATTTATCATTGGCTAAAAATAAGTTGGTGAGTTTTTTTGTACTATATTTAAACTGTAAGATCTAATGCCATCTGAATCAGATGTCTCCATACATTTTTGCATGAACCTTTTTTTTTATTAATTTTTTATTTTAATAGATTATTTAAAAACAGTCTTTTAATATCACAAAAATATGAAGCAGTCTATTTGAAAAATTGTTCAAAAAACTAATCAAAGTCAAACATTTTAATTTCATAAATAACTAGATAATAATAGTACTACCAAGGTAAAAACATTTTTTACCAAATAGATTTCATTACTTAATTCTACTGCTATTGAGTTATGAAATCAAACCATAAAATCATAACCTTGAAAATTTCACTGTTAATGTTTTACCCCTGTACCCTTCATATAAAATCTCTTTAAACCTTCATTATAATAATTTTTTTTAAACAATTTTGATTTTTCAAATTTTGTTTTCTAAAATTTTAAAAGTTTTGAGATTTTTTTTATAAAAATTAAAATAACAAAATAAATGAAAATACCTAGTTATTTTTTCTATTACTCTACTTTATGTCAAATTTTTATTTAGTTAAAATAATCATTTAAATATTTTGTTATTCCCAAGAAATGTAAAAACTAATTTTTCATGATTTTATCAATTTATAGTTTGATAAATGAATGAATGTTTTATTTATAACATAAAGAGGTAATCAAATTCATTTTCTGTATTACACTAAAATATTATGATCTCTTTAGTAGTAGTAAAAGTAGTAAGGATCGTCAACAATATAAATTTATATATAGTTTAATATTGATATTGTACTAAATTTCAGCAATATTATATCGCAATAATGAAATAAAAATTTTTCAGATATCGAGATATATATCGATATCAAAAAAAAATTATATTTAAAAAAGAAAATCAAAATTTTAATGTTTTAACTATTTTTTTTTTTTTTTCAAAAATACCTTTAAGTTACCATTGTTGTAAAATCAGACTATAATATACCAACCAAATCAAATAATGATATTAATATAAAAAATATATAGATAATAGCTATATCCCATAACAATAATCAAATATTTTCAAATTAATTTTCATTATGAAGAAATAAATTTTTTTTTGTTACAAAGCTTTATCATTATACAGGTGTTCAGTAAGTAAGGAAACAAGCAAATTGTTACAAATAATGAGAACAATAGAAACCCGTTTCCTTACTTAATGAACACCCTTCTATATATTATTTATAATAAATGGATGACATTGTTCTTCATTGATTAATGGTATTATAGTTTCAGTGTTTTGGTTTTAAATAATAATAATAAAAAAAGATTTTAAGTGCTGTTCATATTTTTTTATTACTTTGTTAAAACTGAAAACAAATTTACTTCTTTTCAAAAATAAAATTTAAACGTATACAGAATAAAACATCATCGCCTTTATCACTATCATCTAATAGGGATATTTTTTTATTTTGGCTCAATTTCATTTTATTTTCTGATTGAGTTTCGACCAGTTGTTGCTGCATATCTTCTAATTTTTAAATTACTCTCTCAAATCTCCTCATACATTACTTTGTTCATGTTTTATTAAAAATAGGAATAACAACAATGTCATAATAACAATTAACCTAATCTAAGAATAGAATTTTGTATCAATAAATATTATTTTTCATCTTATCTATATTCTATATTTAATAATATAATATATATATATATATATATAATAAAAAAATATTAACAAGATTATCACGAACTGTTTTTGGCCTATAATATATATTTTATTACAAAGTGACTAAAATTCAAAGAGTTATTTTTATTAAATTTTTTTTTTTATTATTGTGATATTTTAAAAATAATTGATATTGTGGAAAAAATGAAAAAAATCGGCTATATTGATATCGTTGACGAACTTTAAAAAGTAATTCACCAATTAATAAAAAATTATTAAAATAAAAACTAATATGGTTTTTATTACACCATTAAGATTTAAACTTATTATCTCATAAAAAATCATTGTAAAACTAAGGTAATAATTAAAACAATTTAGTATTCGATCATTATATTTTTAAATTTTAATATCTATCTATAATTGTTACTTAAAACTATTTTAAAGTTAAAAGTCAATGATTATTAATCATTGTAATAAAGTATGAATTGTTATAATAATAAATGGTATTTCATTTTAGATAAATTTACCACAATGCATTGGAGAGTTAAAAAAATTACATACTTTATCCATCTCTGATAACCTGCTGAGGTTTATGCCAGATAATTTAATTAATAAGCAATTTAAATCTCTTGATGTTTCAAATAATCATTTTATAAATGAACAACGAGATGCTGAAATTATTAACAACTTTAATTCAAAAGTTTATGAATATAATAAAAATAAACAAGTAAATAAGGTAGAAAGAATAAAGACTGTCAATACAAATTGTATAAATTTAGTACTCTTAACTATAAGATCAATTATAAATAATTCTATCAGATTTTATAGACAAGAAATTCCTAGAACTCTGTGGAGATATTTTGATGCTGCAGGTCGTTGTAGAAAATGTGAGCAATTTGTATTACCTCAGGCATACTTTGAATTTATTCATTTTAAAAATCCACAAGCAATAGATTATCAATGGAGTAACTATATTACAGTTGTTCCATGGTTATCATTTGAGTGTTATAAATGTATTGAGTTAAGTTGTCTATAGTAATTTTTCATAATTTATATTAAATTTAAAAGCATGTATCTTGTTGCTTTAAACTGTTAATATTTATTGGTAATCATCTATTTTTATACTTAAATATAATTTTTAGATACAATTCAATAAAAATTATTATATTAAAATATATTGTATTATAATAATGTATTATATCAAAAATATTTTTTTTTTTTTTGACATAATTAAAATTAAAAAATGTTTCAAGTTGTATTTTATGGTATAGATAACAAAATTAATAAATTCAAAATTTATATAATTTAAATAATTATCACCAATAAAATTGAAAATTATTTTTAATTTTTATTTAGTTTTGTTGAAAACTATTCTACTAAAATGTTATTTTATTAAATATTAGTTTGATTCCATTAAAAAAAAAACATTGACGTATTATTCAACAATGTATTCTTTATACATAATATATTCAATTCTGAAATTAAAATAATCTTACATAAGACAATATTTACTTACTACAATTAATATTAAAACGAAATAACTAAAATTATTAAGTGTATCGAAACAAAATATACTATTGTTCCATCTTGTAAAAAATTTTATTTACAAAGAAAAAATATAATTATCACATAACAAATAGTCTTTCCTTCTTAAAACTGAACAAAAAATAATTAACTTTAACAATTAATAAATAACTAATATTCAAAACAATTTCAATATCCACTAAGGAAATAGGAACATCAAGTAATTTAATAGTACATAAAAATATGTTTTTGTAGAAAAAAAAATTATTGCCAAAATTCAATACTATTACTACCATCATTTAGTGTAGATTTGAGTATATAAGAACGAGGACATTCAGGTAAGTCATTAGATTTTAAAGGACTCCAATCTTGATTTAATTTTTGTGAAACAACCTAAAAACCAAAATTTTTTTATTAATAATTCAAATACTAGTTTTAATTAATTTACCTTTTTTATTTTAAAAAGTTTAATTTTATTCCATGGCCGATTAAGGCACATATCACTTTCCATGATATCAAATCGTTTTAAATTACTCCCTCTCAATCGTGCAATTACACATACATCTAAAGGATCCATAAAGTATCCTGAACAAAAATACTATAAGTCTTTATATATATATTACATAAAGAATTTTTAAATTCTACCAATAATAGTAAGTTCTGACAATTTAGTACAATGTGCAGAAAGAGGCAAAAGAGGATTCATATCTTCATCTATTTCAACATTAATATCATCAATATTTTCTACAGGTTCAAAAGGACCTTCCATTAAACAAGCTGGATTAGTAGTACCATGGCTATCTACCCATGTTAAAGAGCGTAAAGTATTTCTATAATGTTGCTGAATAAAACTGATTGCTTGAGTATTCAACTAAAAATTTAAAAATATTACATACAGAAAATATAATTGAAAAAAGGTATATTATTTTTTTTTAAATTTAGGAAAAAAATCATAGTCGACAATAATTATAACATTAAATTAATTATTTTAAAAATTCAAAAGTGAAAATAGTAAAATGTTTTGGGTGTAAGGTTGAGATTTCTTGACTAAAGTATTCACAATAACTTTATAATATCTCAATTTAAACACATACTTTGGTATCAATATTTGATGTATTTAAATTCTTCATTTTCACCATGAGGACAAATCTAGAGGTCAAATTTTTTTTTTTTCAAATTAAAGTATATTATATTAGCTTTAATTTAAGATATATATAAATGTGTCAGTATTTCCAGAACACTCTCAAAAGTTAAGTTGAAAAAGTTGAGCTTATAAAACGGTAAAGATTGAACAGATTTAAAAAATATTTGTATAATAACACAAAATTTCAGATGTTAAGTCACAAACACTTATGTTAGCAAACATTTTTTAAAAAAATCATTGAAATTTTAGAACACAAGCTGTGAGTGGGAATAATTTTGCAACTTTTGCCAATAATTTTTCTGAAGTGACAAAACAGAATGCTTTCTATGAAATAAAGAAATTTGAAAATCAGAGCACACTAAGTAATTTTCCCAGAAAAGCATTTTTTTTCCTAATTCTATCATAATTATGATTTTTGAACTATTTCATCATAATAAAAAAATACAGATTTTAAAATTAATCATACCATACTGCAGAAAAGTACTTTAAGTTGCACTAGAGGTATAGATGGTCTTAAAATCTTGGTATGTAAATATTGAACAACATCAGGACAGCTTATAATTGTTAGCTTTACCTCAACTTCTGGGCTAAAAAATAAATAATTAAATTTAGATACCATTAAAATTTTATAGATAGTATAGTTAAATGCTAAGTACAAAAAAATGCAGGGTATCATTAAAAAATATTTAAACTAATATATCAATTAAGAATACCATTTTTAAATTATTAATTAGAATAACTATTTTCTTTTTTTTTGCTTTTTACAGCCCATTAAAGGCCATTATGGTCTCTTCTAAAAAGAAGGATTGTTAATCTTAATTGTTAATACTCTAAGGCAGAAGGTTTGTACATCACTAGAAAAAGGAATGTGACTCAAATTACTGGACTTATGTCTTGTTCAGCAAATGGAAATGCCTGTCACTGAGTCTTGACTCTATGATAAGAATGGACATATGTAAACTCCCTTAAAAATTTAACTGATATTGAATCGTATGTAATAGTAGTAGTAAGACTCCCAAAATTTAAATTGCTTCCAAATTACCAATATGTTCAGGAGTCCACTAAAAATCAATTTGACAATATAACTAGTATTTTTTTTTTAATTAAAATACTTTTTTTTACAATAAAACTTTGTGCATTTCATAATACTTATAATAACATATTACAGATATAAAATACTCATTTCACAATTACACAAATTACCTATTGTAACTTTATTTGTAGTTATATATTTATATTATTTTATTTTACATTATTAAACTAAATCATTTTAATGACGTAATAATGAGAAACTACTTTAATTAAATCAAATTTAGAAATTATTTTTTCTGTATAAGTTTTTATAAATTTAAAAATAAATGTAGCTACCACTGATATTTAATATTTTGAAAGGTATAAAGACTTATGAATACTTTGTAGTTCTATATATAATTCTAATTGAATATTTTAAAAAGCATCTATAATTAAAAATATATTTAGATAACTATGGTTGAATTCTTTATTAAAATGCGAGTGAAATGACTCGCACACATTTTTAGTTTTAATAAATTTGATGGAGTTTCAGTTCGATCTTTAAGCAGTAAGTTTATCTAATTTGTAACATAAGTATTCAATAAAAAAAAAACAAATCTTAACAATTGTTTTAAAATTTAATTACTTAGTGAATGATCTTATTTATTTTATAATTTATTGTTATTATTTATTTAGTTTTTAGAATTTATTTATTTAGTAAATGTATTCATAGAGGTAATAATGTGGCAGTTAACTTTTTAGGGGACTTTATATAGGAGTAATTCAGCAGCAGTTTAATTTTTAGTGAAATTTACATACAAGTGATTTGGTGACAATTAATTTTAAGGAAGTTTAAAATTATAAGACTGTGTTAAGCAAATTATATACTTATCAATACAAATTTATTTGACATGCATATTGAATATAAAAATATTACCAACTATTTTTCAGTTCCAACCAATAGTTATCATGTAGTTCTGACACAGGATCTTCAAGAACATGCAAAACTAACAATTTTAATTTCTTCATTACACTCATAGCAGGGAATAATTGTGATGTGACAAAATTAAAGTCTAAACTAAATACCTATAGCAAAAAATATCTTTATAGTTCAATTTCAAACAGTTCTGCTCAACAAGAGAATACTTGTAAATTAGTGAGCATCAAGAAACTATCCAAAGGATCAAAAGGAATTGTTTCTGATAGGTCATATCTTTCACCACAAGAAGCTAATTCAAGACAACGAATAACATCTTTATTGTTTTTCGATAATTTTAATATGAGTTCTTTCCAAGTATTAAAAACAATGCCTTTATAACTAAAACCCTCTAAGGACTTAGTTACAGTTATTAATTTAATTATATTAGATTCTAATGATTTCGAAATACATTTTAATTCTCCATTACTGAAATTATTAAAAATAAAACAAAACTTATAACACTTTTTTTAAATTTTAAACATATAATTACCTCTCTAGTGATGTGCTAGAATATACCGGTTCAATAATCAAACTTTTTAGTAATCCATTATTTTTTAAACTTTGTACAACTAAGATAGCTAATTTAAAACATGATACACTGCAAATTTCTAAAGGTATTGTAACATGGCTTGCTAGAGGTATAATGTTAATGTTAAAATATAGTATACGATCTTGAACACTGAAAATATCATTTTTTGTCGTTATAGGAATCCTAATGTTAATCCAAAATGCAGGATGAAATAAAGCTTGTCTCCAATTTTTACAAGATGATGATGCTTTAATTCTTTCTTTTTGAGGAAGTTTTTTAAATATTAAGTGTAATACTGTACTAGGTAAATTATTCCATTTACTGAATGTTGCCACTATTTCTTTATCAAGTAAAACATAGGGTGACCTAGCTATAAACTGAAAAATAAAATAAAATTATTTTATTAATAAAATTAAATTGAAGAAAGAAAAACCCATAAGTACTCCCTTTTTCTTTGTTAACATACTTTTTGAGCATATTTGGATAAATTTTCTAAAATAAATTTTTCAACATCATATATAGCTTTTTTTAAATCTGTTGTTTTGGGGTTCTTTTTATATACATGTTCATGTTTAAAATATGGTCGGATTGAGCCAGTTTTTATCATGGCACTAAAATAATAAAATATCAAAGTTTCATTAAAATTTTACACTAATTCTTCATTGCTTGAATTCAGTGGCACAAAAAAGGAGTTATAAAATCTTCTATTGTCTCTAATAAGACAAAATTGATTTTTTTTTAAATTGTAAAACAGTCATATTTTAGCGCTTTTCTTGCATACATTTTTGATGAAACAATAACAATTTTAGGATAAGTACTTATTTAATTTACAAGGATTTTAATAAATAGAGTAAGTATGTAGAATGTGTAAGTATAGCTTGTAGTTGTGTATATTTTAAATAAATACTCTACCCATGTTACATACTTACTCTATTAGAGTATTAAAATGTTTGTAACTCAATAAGTATTTATACTAAAAGTTGTTATCGACATATCAAACATTTTTGTAAGAAAAAACTGGTTATATAGAAATTAAAAATATTTTTTCATATTAGTGACAAATAATATAATAGTATGGACGTGGGAGAGTTGGGATGAGTATTGTTGATATTTGACAGTGATTAAAATCACTATCAAAAGAAATGTTTTGATACAAATCTGTGTATAGTGTTTAATGTTAAGAAATTGCTGGATAATTATAAAAGCAACATTAACTCCTATTTCCATAATTATATCCTGATTGGTAGTTATTAGACTTAAAAGAATAATACAAGAATAAATACTAATTATAGTAATTAAATTTAGTATGAAATTGATATCCAATAATTTAATATTGTAATTTTTTCTCCGTAAAAATCACAATATAGTATATTTCATTACTTCTATGGTAAATATGAATAAAAATTGAAAGGGCTTGATGCAATACTTTATAAAAAAAAATGTTTGTTACTTATGAATACACTGGTCTACAAGGAACAATTATCAGAATTAAAAATATACTTTTCTAAATCAATTTTTCGCACAGTTTTCAAATTTGCAATTAGACTTGTTCTACCACTTCTATTTTTTGATATTATTACTAATTGGTAAAAAATAAGTATCTTATTATATAATAAAACAAGGAAAAAACGCTTTACTGGAAAAATTACTTAGTGTGCTCGGGTTTACAAAATTTTTTTTTCCAACGAAAGTACTCAGTCACAAGACTCTGGGAAAATGATTGGCAAAGGTCAGAAAATTTTTAGCGCTCGCCCTCAAGCGTTTTAAAATAATGCTCGCTGACACCTGCATTTTACGAATTAAGATTTGAAATTTTCATCATATCCGTCCAATTTCAATATTATTAATTAATATGGGTATTGCCTCATTCCTGCGCATATTGTTATTGTGACCCTTAACTTGTAAAATATGAATTTTTACGATTTAATTTTCTATTTAAATCATTTTTAATATAATTTATTGTTGTCATATATGAAATTATTGTGTTAGTTTATTAACTATCTTTTCGTTTTGATATTATGTTTTGTTATTTTTATATATTATCTTTAGTTTATTAAACATACAGATACTTTCTGATGATTTAAATATGTTTATAATACAAATTTGTTGATATGTTTAATCAAGTTTATTGTCAGCTTGCTGTTCAATTGTACTTTTTTGGCTTTGAACTTTTTTTTTTTTTATTCAGAGTTTATAATAGGTTTTTTAATTTGCGCATAGCACTACATTTTGTATATTTTATCAAGAAATTTTATATTTATTGATGGACTCATTACTATAGCAAACTCTTATAAGTTATTTTAAATTAAACAAACAAAAATAAAATTTAATTACTGAAATAGCATGTTTTTTAACTACGGCAGCCGTTACACGTAGAAGATAAGTCTTTTATTTTTATTTTTCATTTATAGTACATAACATAAGCTTTAATTTGATACATGTTTGAAGGACACAGTATTTGCGGAACATTTTCAAAAGTTAAGTTTAAAAAGTTCATACGTATGTTTTAGGTTTTGAACGTCCTGTATAAGGGGAAAATATCCAATTAAAAAAAAAATATGTATATGATATTACCATGACTTTTAGTTTAACTTGCAAACTTGAATATGACATCATTAAATAGGAAATTTTATAAGAATTAAAAAAATTGTATTGTTAAGATTAATATGCAGTCAGGAAATTTTATGATCACTTTTTATAGTAAATTTATCAGTAAAGCTCAATATTTTTTTGCATTTTTATCTTAATATATCACTTATAGTAATAATTAATCTATGAATAATTTCTATGTAATTTTTGGTGTTTAAAAAGATTCTACAATTAAAATATTCAGAACTTAATTAGTTTTAATGATTTACTTTAACTAAAAAAACAAATCAAAAGTTTTTAAAAGATCTACTCAATTGAGCGTATAACAAAATTTGATTATAGTTGTAATCCATTGTTAAATTCAAGTGAAACTAAAAATAATTTTTGTTAGAAATTTTTTATATGGCAACAAAATTCATTCCCACTTGGGGTTCGAACTTTGTACACCAAGCATGAAAGACACAAGTGTTATTGACTCGGCACCGTACACTGTTTTGTTCGGTAGATAAAAATGACAATTCAAGTTAATTTAAATTTTAAAGTTATTTTTCTCGACTTAAAAGAGGCAAAAAATTTTAAATAAGTTTATCTCTATATGCTATGTCAATTAGGTTTATATAATATTTACAAAATTCAGTGTACTCCTTTTGTATGGTATTTTTAAATAAAAAACCTAGCACAGTGGAGATATGGCATAGTTGGGTCCAGTATAGATGATATCTGACAGTGATTAAAATCACTATCATAAAAAACGATTCAATGCAAATCTGTAGATAATGTTTAATTTTAAAAAATTAATGGATTATTCCAAAATCTACATGATTTCCTATTTCATTATTTATATTTTGATTAGTAGTTATTAAACTTAAAAGAATAATATAAGAATAAATACTAATTATAGTAATTAAATTTAGTATGAAATTGATATCCAATAATTAAGTTTTATGATTTATAAGTGTAATATATGAATAAATAAATAAATAAATATATATATTAATAATATATAAATATAAATAATACTTATCTTAAAAAAATTATAATGATCCATACATTATTCAAAAAGTTATAGCATTATAAAGTTAAAAATATAAAAAAGAACTTTTTTACAAAAATTTTATTTTTTGTAATAAATTTGATGTCTGTTTTCACCGAGAAGACAAAATAAAGTCAAATTTAATTTTCTAATATTCAAGTATATTACATGAGCCTTAATTTAAGATATATATAAAAGTGTCAGAGTTTCCCGAACACTTTAAAAAATTAAGTTGAAAAAGTTCTACTTTCTATATGAATTTTTCAGATTTGACCCCCACCCCTGTATATAAGGTAATGGTTTTCTTTAAAAAAAAAATATGTCGAAATGAAAGAAGTAATTAAATATTATTTTTCATGAAAAAATTGTATTGATCCATGTTTTCAAAAAGTTATAGCATTATAAAGATAAAAATGTAAAAAATAAAATACAGAATTTTTACACAAAAATAGCATTTGGTAACTTTTTTCACTGTGAAGACAAAATTAAGTCCAAAGTTTTTTTTTCCATAATAAAGTACAATACATTAGCTTTAATTTAATATATACATAAAAATGTCAGACTTTCCAAAACACTTTCAAAAGTTAATTTTTTGTGAAAAAGTTGTCATTTTAAATCCCCCCTTGTGGGCAGTTATAGGGTCATATTTATAAAAAAAATATAGCAAATGATAGGTAAAAACATCAAGCATATTTAAAAAAAAATTGTATTGATTTGGTTATTTTTAAAAAAGTTATGTCAATTTTAAGTAAAAAAAATTGAAAAAAATTCGAAAATTAGCAATTTTTATATTTAAAATTTTTTTGGAGGTTTTCCTCATTTACAGAGAACGAGGGAAATTTTTTCAATTTTTGAGTATAATGCCTTCGATTAGATATGATTTGTGATTTTTTGACGTATCATTGAAAGAAATTGGTTCGATAAGAACTGAGAAAAAGTGGTAACCGACACAAAAAAAACACAATATAGTAAAACTAATACCTTCTCAACTTCACATCAAAACTAAAATAAAATATAAAATTCGAGAATTTTAACACAAAAATAGTATATTTTTGCATACGGATTCTATTATCACCATGAAGACCAACTAAAGTACGAAATTTTTTTTTTCATAATAAAGTATGTTATATAAGCTTCAATTTAAGATATATATATCAATGTCAGTATTTCCGGAACATTTTCAAAAGTTAAGTTGAAAAATTTAAGTTTTGTAAAAAAATTGTTATTTTGAATCCCTCTTATGGGCGGGTAAAGGGTCAGATTTAGAAAAAAATTATATCAAATGAAAAGGAAATATATCAGGTGTCTATAAGAAAAAATTATTTTGATTCGTTAATTTTTCAAAAAGTTATGGCAGTTTTAAGAAAAAAAATGTCTAAATGTATAGATTTTAAAAATCGGTGTTCTTTGGAAGATTTTCACCATTTACGGGGAACGAGTCAAAAATTTTTAATTTTTGAGAGTAATGTCTTCAAATAGATATGATTTGTGATATTTTGACGTATCATTAAAAGAAATCAGTCTAGTGAAAGCTAAGAAAAAGTTGTGACAGACCCAAAAAAAAATAAATAAACAAATCATGGTAAAATTAATATCTTCACAGCTGCGCAGCGAAGTTAAAAGTTGAAAAAATGTCCAAAATTACCAATTTTCAAAATTGTAATTTTTGGGGGGATTGTTCATCAAAATCGATCCAGTGAGAGCTGAGAATAAGTGGTAACAGACACAAAAAAAACACATCATAGTAAAATTAATACCTTTTCAGTTTTGCATCGAAGCTAAAATATGCTTATAATATAGTTCAAAACTATAAAAATTATTGAGAAAGAAAAAGTAACATAATATTGTTATATCAAGTTATTAAAAATGTCAAAACCTGGTGGAACATCATACGTTAATAAGTTCTAATAATAAAATATGTATTTATATTGATATTGAATTTAATTATAAATAAATCACTCACTAATCTTCAGTTCCAAAAAAAAAAACACACTTTTTTCCATGTATATCAATATTTTGAAATATGTCAGGAGGGGGAACTGATATCTAAAAATAAATATTAATTAATATATTAATTATCATAAACTTATTTTTAACTTTTTAATTAAATTATGTATGTCTGTGTATATATATATCTTTTAAATAAAACTATAGTACTTACAATTCCAGGCCAAGGAGGAAACCCCTTCATTTTTGCCCTAAAATAAAAAAAACATAGTAAAAATGTAAAATTCATATGAAGTAAATTAAAATACTAACAAAATTAGTGCTAAATCACAATTTAAATCAAAAATAAAATCAATGAAATAAAAATGAAAAATTAAATTGTTATATAATAGAATTTTTCTTTATTCAAATTAATGTTTTTTTATTACAATAGACAAAAACAAGACAACATTGCTACTAAAAAGATATATCACTTACAAAATGCAATACTATGTAAATAAATCATTTCATTTTATGAAATTTTACTTTTCCATCAAAATAATTTATAGATTAGTTTTAAACGATTTTGAATAAAATACAAAATTGTGTAAAGGTATCTTTACATGGTATTGCACTTAGCGTAACAGCATTTATTTGTATCAAAACAATCAAGCAAAAATTACTTTAAATGTACTTTGAGAAATTACTGAAAATGAAACTAAAAATTAATAGTTGCAAATATATTAATTATTACATCATTACAATATATATTTACTAAAAATAATTATATTTAAGTTGCCCAAACATAACTTATTTAATTTAAAAATATATATATACGTACCAAACAAGATCGCCAACATTGTACAACTCTGTCATATTATTGGATATTAAATGGTAGAATTAATATTGAATGGTATTATAATTTGATAATATATTTATTTTTATCTTATTGGATCTAAAATAAAAATATATATTGCCCATTTAATGTACTAATTTTAATGTATAATGTAGTTTCGAAAAAAAAAATTAAAAGAGCCTATCTTTCCCTAAAATTATATTTTTATTATATTACATATAATTTTTCCAAATTTATGAACCAAATCTTCCCAAACTACATGCATATATATAAATATATTTTATAAAGACTCAAATATTGAATTATACAATAATTTCAGATATTTTCATACAATAAAAATGGATGATAATATTCTGTATTAGCTGGATAAACTTATACTATATAAATAGAAATTTTTAATATACTAAATTAAGGGTGAAATTTGTATACCTCTAAAATTAAAATAGCTACAAGACCTTCAAATTTTAGAAAACTATGTTCATTCAAAAATTCACGACATATACTAGCATACACTATTGTATTATTTTGGTGAACAGATTATTTGAAATTAATTTATATTTGATAAATAATAGCTAAAATTTTATAAAAAAATTTGGATATATTATAAAATTAAAAACATGACAATACTCCATTTAAAATGGCATCCATCAAATATAATTCAAACTCGTTTGTTGAGAATTCTATACAGTTTGGCATCTCCCATAAAATTAATAAATGATTCAATTTTTTTTTTTGTTTTATTAGAAAATGTCATTTATTTAAGATATTAAGATATAAGTTGATTAAGCAGCTTCTAATATCTAATTTTTATGAGTACAAAATAGTAAAAATAGTAACATCATAATGAAAATGGGGATTTTGCACATATTATTTTAAACACAGCTATTGAATAGCTAAATAAATTACCAATGTAATTTGAATCCAATGTAAAATATTTAAAAAAAAAATTTCTCCAAAGATATTCAATTTTTTTTTAGATAACTACACTAAAAATAAGTTTTTATTACAAACTTAGATTTATATATGGTGACAACAAATATAAGGACCAGAACATTTTAATCTAAAATAAAATCTGCTAAATATTCTAAGAGAAAAAATGCATTTACAATTATCCCAATCATTTAAACTTACCCTAAAAATTCGCCCTAAATACAAATTCTACTTTATGAAATGTCATTATTACTTAAATCATATAAATAATAGTAATAGTAAACATTACAAAAATATACCTACTTAATTAGAAAGAACAGTATAACTGCTAACAAGTGTTCATTCAATAAATCTTAATACGATCGGTTCAAATTATATCTTTGTTTTATAACTAGAAATATAAATAGTTGTTATAGATACAAGTCCTACATTTTTAACTTTAATATTATTTTTATATTAAGATAATAACATTTGTTTATTCTATGATAATATTATTTTGTTATCTATTATCCCATAAATGTTCAAATTCCCTCTATTATATGTACGTTGAATTTCAAATTATTGATTCCGTTTATTACTTTAGTTATTTAAACATAAACATAAAGATTTCCATCAAATGAGTTAAATCTCAAATTTATTATATTAAATTGAAATCGTAGAAATTTCTGTCAAGTATAAAAACTGACTCAGTATACTTCTAGCTATGGATATAAACAAATATAAGGATAAATATTACATACCCCATAATCTGATTGATACTAAACTGTTGGGGAAAGTATATTAAGTATTAAATATGACACTATCCAAAACTATATCTATAAATTATATCCAAACTACAAGACGTGAAATAAAATTAAAAATTAATACGAATTTTTTTTATCTTAAAAAATTAGTCTGTAAAATAAAAACGTGTGTTAAGAATTTATTTACACATGGAGTCGTTTTGACAATATGGTATTGGAGGTACCACGCATCCTCCCACTTAAAAATTTTTCAATATTTTAAGTTGCTAGAAAAATTTATTTATGTTAATAAAAATTACACAATTTAAAAAATTAATCAGCAAGTATAAATAATTTTTTACCTCTTCCTTTTTCTATAATTTTCCCTTAAGGGCGGCAAAATTTCAAATCAGTTTTTCCAATAGTTACAAATCTATTCTAATAGATAAAAAGACCATAGATATTATAGTTTAGTCATAAATAAATTTATTACCAAAATTTTAATTATTTAAATAAGTTCACAACTAATCTTATAATGTAACTTAAAACAATTTACATAACACTTAATTTTGTTCTTTTAAACACATAATAACTAACTGATTTAAACAAAATTTCACATTATATCTTTCATCTTGAAAGACTATATTAATAACAATTAGTATACCAATAGATAATAAAGTAGGAACATAATAACTTTATGTTAATAAATTATTAAAATAAAATGTATAAGTCACAAAAAACAAATTAAATCTTTAATTTAACAAAATAGGTCGTATAACTTCCAAAAGAAGACCATCTTTAAGTTAGCTATGAACATGCACTACAATTAATCTGACTATTTTCCAGTAGACACTGTTTGGCAAATGTCATATGGTATTTAGGCAAATCATTATTTGTTAATGGTTTCCAAGTTCTTTGCAGCCATTTAGACACAATCTAAAATTATTTATAATTAATATAAAGATAAGAATTAATCTATAAATGATATTAAACAAAATAGTACAAAAATAATGAATCTAAGTATCAATACAAAAAAAAAAAATCAGTTAAAATATATTTTATTTTTATTTTAAAGAACTTAGATATTTTTTTTTAGATATCCCTTCTATATATATTTAACAAATTTTTTCTAATGATATTTTAAAAAAATTTCAAAGAGATACACTATAAAATATTTTTTATTTATCACTTATTATATCAATTACATGATATTAATAATACAAAAATATTGATATTAGAAAATTCCTAATATGAATATATTGTTTTCAGTCATATTGATATTTAAATTACTTCTTTCACTTTTTCAATAGATATTTTACTCCAAGGACGATCATTGCATATGTCACCTTCCATAAGTATAAAACGCTCTAAACAAGAACCTCTATACTTTGCTATAGAACAAACATCCGATGGATCTATAAAATAACCTAAAATTTATATTAACATATAAATTTATTATGAAAAAAAAATAAATCATATTTTGTATAATTTTTTTGTTACCCATCATAACAATTTCAGTAAGATTTTTACAATTTAAGGCAAGTGACACAAGAGCATTAACACTATCATTTTCAAGATCTTCATTATTTACTACCTCAGTTATACTGTTTAAATTTAAAGTACCATTAATTAGACAATAAGGGTTTGTTGAACCATGTCGATCAACCCATATTAAAGATTTTAAAGTATCCTTATAGTGTTGTAAAGCTAATAGAGCTTGAACATTGCCCTATATAATAAATATATAATTAATTACTTAACTATTAAAACATTAAATTTGATATTTTTATGCTTACAATTTCACAAAATAATACTTTTAAATGTGTTAAAGGCATGGATGGGCTTAAAAGTTTAAGATGCAATTGCTGAGTCACTAAACTACATTCTATTACTGCAATTCTTAACTCAAGTTTTGGACTGCAACAAAAATTATAGCAACAGAAAAATCTTAGTAAAATATAAATAGAAAAAGAAACTATAACATATAGCTATTAGTATAATAAAAAAATAATGTATATTCGATTTTACAAACCAATTTTCTTTTAATTTTTTCCAAAAGACATCTTCATGTTGCATGTCAATATCATCATGAATAAATAATTCTAGAATTTCTAGCAATGGCATATTATGTAATGCTGTTAATAATTCAAACGTATTTCTAGTGTAATCTAAACTTAATACCTGTAAATAAAAAATTATAAATGAGAATAATTGTTTAATGTATAACGATGGATTATACAAAACCTGCATAAAATTGAATGATTTAAAATAATCATAAATATTTATGCTCTTATGCTGTGGAATTTCTGCTGGTTCTAGTATCCCAGCAAGATTTAAGGATTTTAATTTTTGACTATTTTTAGATAAATAAAAAATTAATTTTTGCCAAGGGTGAAATGTTTTAAAACCGTAACTAAATCCTTCAAGGTTTTTTATTCTCCGCATTAGTCTTTTGATTTCATCCTCTAATTGTCTTGAGAGTGACCATTGATGATTTATATCTTCTTGAGGTCTGGAAAAAACAAAAATTATGTACTTGTATTTTAAGATAAATTACAAATACAAACTTACAGATCATAAAATAATTCACAATGTAATGGATTTATTTTAAGATTTTTTAGGACCAAACTAGATTGTAATTGTTTAATAAATTCTAGAGCCCATTCAAAACACTGTTGATCACACGTATCAAATGATATACATACATCTTGAACTATTGTAATAATACTAGTTTTTAAATATTCTAATCTCTTTTCATCTATACTGCCATTGAGTTCAGGCATTATTTTAACATGTAAATAGTGAATGAAATGTTTGTAAAATATGTGCCTCCAATGAACACATACAGTTGATGCTTTTAATACATTTTTAGGAGATAGATAAGAATAAATATTGAGTAATATTGATTCTGGTAACCACCGAACAGATTCTCTTTCATTCTAAAAAAGAATTTAATCAAATATAAATTTAAAATCATTTTAAACTTTAAAGATAACAATAAAAAACTATGATGTTTTATCTAAAATAAAACTTATTATCAACTTAACAAACAAATTAATTAATATACTATGAATAAATCTACAATAGAAACAAAAAATATTACTACAACCTATTTAAGTAAATAGCGCTATAGATCAAAAGTAGATATTAATAATACAATATAATTGGTTTTATTATATTCTAAACTGAATATTCCTTGTAATTTTTAAAACAATGAATTCATGTTAAAACTGTAATAAAATTGTTTATATATCTTTGTATATATTAATTATTATAATGACTTAAATAAAAATTATAAAATATTAAGTTTAAAAATAAGTGTCTTACTTTTTTTTTATTTGATAAATACATTTCAATTGATTTACAAGCATCTTTGAACTTTTTCGTTTTACAACGGTTAGAATATTCACTTTTATAATGTAAATAAGGTTTTAAATTTTTTCTATCAACCCATGCACTGAAAGAAAATATTGAAGTGAATGATTTTAATTAAAAGAAAACAGTAGCATAATTGGGACTAATATATATAATATCTGACAGTAATTAAAATCACTATCATACGAAACACTTCAATGCAAATCTGTAGATAGTGATTAATTTTAAGAAATTGGTGGATTATTGAAAAGCAAAATTCTAACTCAAAAATAATTGTGACAGGCAAAGATTTTTACTGAATTGTCAAATGTTTGTTGCATTCATTTTTTAATAAAATTGGCAATTTAAGCTGATTCAAATGTTAAACTTAATATTTTCGACTTAAAAGAAAAAAAAAATTGAAATAAGTTTAACTTTATATTTTATGTCAATTAGTATTATATAATATTCATGAAAATTAGTGTACCCCATTATAAAGTATATTAAAATAAATTAAAATACAAAACTCAAAATTTTAACACAAAAATGGCATATTTTTGAATATGATAACTATGTTCACTATACCTCGAAATTTTTTTTTTTTTCATAGTATAATACATCACATAAGCTTTAATTTAAGACTAAATAAAAGTGTAAATATTTCTGGAAAATTTTCAAAAATTTTGAATCCCCCAGTGGGCAGATAAAAGATCAGATTTTCATAAAATTTATATAAAATGAAAGTAAAATTTCTAAGATTTCAATATTTAAAAGAATTATTTTGATTTATTCATTTTTCAATAAGTTATGACAATTTTTAGAGAAAAAAAATCGTAAATTTTTGAGTGATTTTCACTATTTACGGAGAACTTATTCAATTTTTGAGGGTAATGTCTCCAACTAGATACAATTTTTTTATCTTCTGACGTATCTTCGAGAAAAAAAGTAGTAAAAAAATATAAAAATTATAACATTATGGTAGATTAATACCTTCTCAGCTTCACATCGAAGCTAAAATACTGTAAAGATCCAGCAAAACGGAGTAGAGGCATTTTTTTGTTTAATATTGATTATATCTGATAGGGATTGAAATCACTGTCTCAAAATGCTTTGATGCGTATTTGAAATAAATTTTTTATTAATTTAACATATCTACCAAAATATTATACATTTACATTTCAAAATTGGTCATTTTTACTGAAAATTGTAATATTTTTAAATTTAATGCCCAATAATTTCTAGAAATCGAAATTCAAAATAGTTTTTCAATATATTGTGTTAACTTTAACTTGATGTAGGTTTAAAGAAGATAGAATTTTTAGAACATTATTTAAAGTTAAAAAAAAAAACATTTATATGATTTTTAAATCCCACAGTACATTGATAAATATTGGATTTAAAAAAAAAGTGATGCATCGGCAAGGTTAATGTCTAAAGTATTATCATTAAAAATTACCCAATAATCCTCCAATTTTCAAAAAATTATTTCAATATAAAGTGAAAACTAAAAATATCAGCATGGATTATTTTATATCATCTATAATTTTTTAGGACATTTCTTTTTTTTACCGGGACTTAGAGGAATTTTTCAAAATTATGGCACTAATAGCTTCAACTAGTTACATTATATAATATTTAACATATGGTAGAAGAAAATTGGTACAATAGGAGGAAAAAAATTTTGTTTATATACAAAATAAAATGCAAAAGAAAATTAATAGCTACACATCAAAATTAAATTTTGATTACATTAAATAACACTTATTTAACAAAATAAAAAAATTATTTAAATTAAAATAAACAGCAATTTTGTAAAAATGTATAAAGGGTGATTCACTTATCATGTACTACTTAATAATTCAAAAAATAATAATAATAATAATAATTTTTTTATTGGTTTCTTTCTTTCAATGTTTTTCTCAATGTATCAACATAAAAAATGTTTCATACTTATCCCTTATAAAGGTATCAGTTGTAATTTTTCAAATGACAACACCCCTAATCAACTATCTTATTTAATAGATAATGATCTAGTAAAGAAAATAACAGTTTGATAACAATGTTTGAACTAATACTTTGGAAGTTGTTCTCATTTTTATACCTAGGTAGGACGAAGAGTATGGTAGGGAAATTACTAATAATAAAAACTGCAGCAGCCATTTTTTTTCTAGTAATTACTTTAAATTGTTAATAACTTCCAAATTACTGGTTTAAAAGTTGTTATCGAACTATCAATTCTTTAACTAGATCATTATCTATTAAATAAAAGTTAATTAAGGGTGTTTCCATTTGAGATATTAAAGTTGACACACAAGATATAAGGGATGAACAAACAATTTTTTTAATGTATTACATTGAGGAAAACATTCAACTAAAAGAAACCAATAAAAATTATTATTATTATTATTATTTTAATTATTAAATAGTTCATGAAAAGTGAACCATTTTGACAAAGTCACTGTTTATTTTAATTTAAATAATTTCATTATTTTGTAATTAGTTAAATAAGTTTTATTTAATGTAATCAAAATTTAATTTTGATGTGTAGTTGAAAAGCTATTAATTTTCTTTTGCATTTTTTTTTTTTTTTTTTATATATATAAGTGATTCATTATAAATTAACCACTTGTATTAATTTGTATAATTTATACATTATATTTAATGTACAAGATCCATCATGGGTAAAAACATTGTATCAATATTTAAATAAGTATATAATAATAAAAACATCTTTGAAAAAATAAATACTCACTATTCATTTGAATCACCTTTCCCAAAAAAATGTACACACTTATAATTGTTGTTAGGTTTACTTTTCATTTTATAAGTAGGATACCAAATCTAAAAAATAAAACAATTAATTAAATTAAAAGTTTTTAAACATTAAATTTTTAATTGTGTTTTTTTTATGCTTGTCAATTGATAGCTTCCTAAGTCGAATAAATTCAGATGTGTAGCTAAGGTAATAACTTCCACACTTTCCAAAATTTTGATAATAACCATTAATCTAGCCAAGTATTAAGTTATGCCCCAACACAAAGCTAAACAAAGTTAGCTAAAGAACAATAACATTTCATTTTATTTTAATAAAATAAATAAAAATAAGAGTCTTAAAAATGTTTGCATTGAGTATTTAGGATTTCTAATACCTACACTAAAACTGGCAATATTAAATTATTGCTACTTACTAATCCTGGCCACCAAGGATAAATCTTCATTTTTACCCTAAAAAAAAAACTGCTTCAATAATTGGTTAAAAGTATTCAAGTATTGTAAAAAAGGTAATGCAGAAGTACTACTTCTTAAATAAAAATCTTAAAAAATACAATGTTCAGAAAAAATAACTTCTTTTCATATTTAATAATAGATAGTTAGTACACTTATATAGTGTATAAAAATGTGGGTTAGATAGAAGAGATATAAGTCAATTTCAATAACTTTCCAGAATTGTCTTTATAATTCTTTATATCATATATATATATATATATATATATATACCAAGCAATTCTGACAAATCCACATACTTTTCTTATAAAAAATTTTCAAAATATTATGAGACACTATATACCTCTATAATTCTGCAGACATTGAAAATGCATTAATATAATTCATTACATAATTTTATTTTTATTTTTAATTCTAAAGAAAGATTAAAATTTAAAATTTGTATTCTCAAGTAATATTTAATTAAAAATAAAACTCATTTAAAAATTTACTTAAACCACATTTGCTACAATCCTCACATATTTTCAAATATATTGCTACAACTTGATATATTTTTTTTATCCTTAACATCCGAGTAATTATGATAGGAAAAATCATTGTGATATATTTCAATAAATTACCAGACAAGGCATCCAATCCAAGGATCTTCATCGTAATAACTGTTAGGGCTTCCTAGTAAGAATTTTCGAGGAGTTTCATAAAAATCATCAAACTCAGATACAGATTCAGTTAATAAACTTTCATTATCCGATGTTGACATAAAGTCATCGTCAGAAGACATTATAACTTGAACAATAAAATATTTAGTTTTAAAATTTTATTAATTTTCATCGCTTCACGATACAGTACACGATCAATTTTCAAGAAATCATAATAGACAAACAAAAAAAAAATGTTATAAATTGAGTTTGTACGATTTTTCTATCACACGTGAATGTGTTTATTGATAAGATAAATAATTAACAATAGAAAATAGATACGGTATCATATGTTCCCAGTCACTATATGGGTATAAATATATATAATTTATAATACAGTTGTATAATAATTCTATAGAATTAATTGTACTGATAATCATTAGTGGGAAAATTTTCGTTCCAAAAAGAATTTAAAAAAGATTTAAGAACGGGTTTTTTTTTTGTAAAAACAAAGCTAGGAACTGTATATTTTAATTTAAAAAATATAGAACGTAAACGAATTTATTTTTATAAAGAACGTGAACGAAATTTACAGCTCTTTCAACTGTTAGTATTTCTAAAAAATGTTTAATTTGTTTCTAGGTTATATAAATAATAATGTACTTTTACATTTACTATCAGATCTGGACTATTAGGCTACAAATTACAAGTTAATATATATAAAAAAAATTGTAAGGAGGGAGAAATTTAGTTAAATCTAACATTTTGTTCAAATTGCGCTTATAAACAGAATTATTAAAATATAACCTATACTTTCATTTAAACCTTAATTTAAAGGAAAATAGTTTTTTAATTCGTGTATTTATTATAATCAATAACAACGGTTTTTTTTAATTATATGTAGACATTTTGAATAAATTTAAAACAATGACAGGGCCTCGAGATGTCGCGTTTACAACCCCTGACAAAATCTTAGGATCGCAATTATATAGTTCGTATCTCATAAAAATATCTAATAACACAAATAATATTATGGGGTGAGGGGAAAAATTTATTTTACATAGAATGCATAGTAATTTTCTTCTCTCTCGTCTTTATCCCAACTACTTGGAATCAGTCACCTGTATCCTAAACCACCACTTAACATGATCTCCCACATAATCTATGCATACAACAGCAGTCCTCATATCACACCCAATTACATCGATGTATAATTGGTAATTTAAAAAAGAGGTGGTTGCTTCTTTTTCGGTCTTCCTCTTCTTCCTTTAATGTTCATTTTCATATATGGAAATTAAATCAGACGTTGTAAGAATGGTTTATAACTATGTTTCCTCTTACATATTCATTCCTTATCCTATCTTCTCTTGTCATTCTATTCATCCATCTAAGCATTCTCATTTCTGCTACACTCATTCTTTGCTCTACTTTCTTGTCAACTGGCCAACACTCTGACCCATACAACATAGTTGGTCTCACTACAGTCTTATAAAACTTACCTTTTAGCCTCATTGAGATTCTCTTATCGAAAAAATCACCAAATGCATGGTAATGTTTTAAATAAATGTCTACCTATTTATGTTTTTTACATAAAATTTTTTTCAACAATTATTTTTGTTAACAACATAGTTCGAAATTTATTGCTATCAATATTTCCTTAAAAGATGCGTGTATTAAACCATTTTGAGAAATTACGACACTGTTAAAGATTATATTAGTGTGTATGGTTTAAAAGTTAAACCCTTATACGAAACACGAGTAATGAGACTGTTTGAATAATGACGATGATGACTACCACTTTAGGGGTTTTAAAGGGACACTGGGGGTTGTATTAAAATGACATAAACGCTGTTGTTATATAAATCATTATACAATTTATTCTGACAAGTATGATGCCAAATGTCAGCATATGGATAATCCTTGTATAAAAGAATCAAGCAAATCGGGAATATCTAAAAACTTTTCGGGTTTAATATAGAAAAAGTAGCAAAGGTGTAAAAGATTTAAAGTTTTTAGCTTACATCGCAAAATTTTTTTTTTCATGTCATCAAATTATATTCATAATGGAGTTACGGATTATGTATTTAAGTTTGAATTTCAAACCCTTTTCATGATAATACCTTCAGCCACCTAGGAGATAACAATATACGTAAATTAAGAGGACGCCATACAGAGAATAAAACGGTTCTAAACAAGTTTAAAATTGATTAAGGGTATACGACGTATAACCCTCAAATTATCACCGAGTGTAACACGCATATCTTTAATGTAGTGTAATGTTAACATTACGCTACATCCCGCCTTTTTTATGAATACTAAATTCCAATATTTGTTTTATTAATATGGATATTTCATAAATTTTCCCCTATTACATAGATAGACTAGGAAAGATCATTTTCAACTTATAAAAATCATTTAAAATTTAAAATACTAGGAAGCACTTCATACTTCAGTACAGCTCGAATAGGTTCAATTTATTTTTCAAAAATGTAATCATTTTAACTTTAATAAGAACTCAATAAAATAACAATTTTTAGTGAATAGCACAAAAAAATATATACAGGAAATAAATCTGCTTATGTAGATTAACCTTTTTTTTATTTAAATAAAATGATTTTTTTTAATTTTATAATAAATTTTGTTTTGCCATAATTTTGGAAACTCAGTGATAATATTCTTCCCAAAGAATATTTTAGTTGGTAATATAAGCCGAAGTTGAAGTTCGATGCTGTAACCATGTAAACCATTTCTCGTTGTACAGATCTTTTTTTTATTCTTATCAAATACTGTTCCTACCAATATTTTTGAACTGATAAACATTTTGCCAAAAAATAATTAATTTCTAATTATTTATTAGTACGTGCGTTTAACGTAATTCTATACAAGAAAGAATTAATTGACTGTCGTGAACCCATAATTGTTTTATAAATATTAGTTATAAAGAATTTATTGTAACACTAGAAAGTATAATAGTATTTAGAAAGTAACCATTTATACTGTAAATTGCATGTTAATTATTAATGACATTGTTCCTAATAAAAAGGAATCTGACTACTGATTGAGTGGTTTGTGTTCAATCAGTGATTACATTATAATTATTATTTTGACTCTTCCTGAAAACACCTATCCGCATGATCGAACTTGGGACTTAGAACACCCAGGTTGTCACATGACCTAGGGATTTATTTTATAACAAAAAGCTAAATAATACTCTTTCTATGAAGAAAAACGATAATAAATTTTATTTATTTTAATATAGTCGTTTTACAAATAATCATACGACTAGCACTATTGGATTAAAATTAATTACATAATACACCTAATACCATTTTTTAACATAGATCAGACAAATAGATAACCGATTACATAGTTTTTCTATTTTACAACTACGTACAAAACTTACAACATAATGCATTATTTTTATAAAACTATAATTCTTAAAATGAATTGTTAACATTTATAGGATTAATAATAAAGATAAATGCCAGACTTACAATTTACATTTCACACACAAAGGGGATAATGAGAATGTCAAAAATGTGTATTTTTCTTCATAATTCAAAAAAGGGTTAAAAGCTTATTTTTCATTCATAAATTACAATTTTTGTACACATCTAGATTGAAAANACAATTCAAAAAAGGGTCAAAAGCTTATTTTTCATTCATAAATTACAATTTTTGTACACATCTAGATTGAAAAAAAAATTACACATAATTAAGCTATAACATTTTAACATGAACAATTGATTAACAACTTAGATTAGATGATTAATATCACATGTATTACTACAAGGAAAATCAATTTCACTCAATTGCTCTTATAGTTTATTAATCTTTACATCATATATATGTACACTTATTTAAGATTTACATATCATGATTAAACATAAAACCAATAAAGTAAAATAACAGTGAAAAAAAATTTGTGTAACTACAGACACATCTATCTAAATCATAGATACTAATAAAATGTATAAATATGTTATTAAACGTATTTAAAATATTTCAAGTTTATTAATAATTTAATAAAATATGTAAATCAAAGACATTAATCAAAAGGTTACTCTAGTTAAATTAAATTTGTATTAAAAAAAAAAAAAAAAATATAAAATACAATATATATAATTTTTATATAACGTGTCAAAATACACAATAATGTAATGTTGTAACATTACTAAACCAAAGTCATAGTAATTTCTTTTTAGTTACAAACATGCATTTAATTGTTTTAAAAATTATTACAATTAAAATTGAACATAAATATTCCCACTGCCTATTGCAACATCTCACCTACAAAATGTAAACACATAGCAAGCAAGTCTAACATTAAAGTAGAACATGGCAGTGACACGACCTTGGATAGTCTTATAAATAATCAGTGAGCGTCTATTACAATAATAATAAGTCTTTTAATATCACTATTGAATAAAGCAGTCTTATTATCAAAGTAGACAACAAACCACAAAAACATATGGACTCAAAAATTTAGTACAAATTAGAAAAATTCTTTCTGTTAACTATAGGGCCAGACTTCGACTGTCAATTTTCCGTGTTTGTAATAAAACAAGAGACAGAGCGTCACTGCAACTCATAAATAGAATTTTTAATTAAATAAAAAATGAAACACCAATGTTCTACATAAATGTATGAATACAGTACAAAACACGAGATTATAAAAGTATGTAAAATTGATAGCTACTAGAGTCTTAAGTTATAAGTACTCTTTTTTTTTTTTAATAATACAAATAATACATTTTATATCAGCTACTTTATTCGTTGGATCCATCATCAAGTAAAGCTGCAAATTTATTGCTGGTCTAAAAATGAGTAATTAAAAAAATTATTTATAATAGCACTTGATTTCATCATTCAATACTTACAGATTTCTTTTGCTCTTTTGATACAATAGGATCTCTATAAATAATAATAAAACAAATTATAAATTGTCAATTCAAAAATTGCTTAACATTTAAATGAATAACATAAATTGAGAATACGGTAATATTTTACTAACTTCTTTTTCATATCAGTTTCAGACATTTTTTTAACCACTTTGGTTTTTTGTTTTTTAAATTTATTTTTATCTAAACCATTTTTGCCACATTCTATGAAACCAGAATCATTTTTATCATTCTCTGAAGATTGATCTTTAACTAAGTCCGATTCGCTAGATTGACCATCAGGATCAGTTCGGATATCATTAGGTGTTTCAATAACTGCAGTTTCAATAATTTCTGATCCATCAGCTGCCCTATCAGGTAAAGATTGTTCTTTGACTGCCTGTTTACGAAGATTTGGTGGAATGTAAACATTAGGTTTTGATGAATTTTCATCTATACTTCTATAATTATAATAATAATAATTAAAAACTATTTATATGTCTAAATACAATTACTATTTTTAACTTTAGTGATATATGCAATAAGAAAAACTTACATAGATAATCCATTACATTCATTTTCATCCGACTTTTGTTGATTACTTTTATCCCTAAGATTTTCTTTGGGAAGAGAAGCTTCTTCATAGTGAGGATTTTTATCTGGTGAAGTTCTTCGCCTTGGAGGACGGTCATCATTTTGACGACGTGGACTTCTTCGTCTCCATGTTTCTACAGGCCGTGAATGTGACGGTGGTTTAACTTCAGTTTCTTCTTGATGTCTAAAAATAATGATTACTTAAATAGAAAACTTTAATTTTAAATGACGAATGTTTAAAATATAGCTTCTTAAGCTAAAAAATATAATTTATCAAACAAATTGGAGGTCAACCTAGTATTGATACTCAGGTTGGTACTATGATTGTTTTTTTAATTTTGGCTAAATGCTCATTCCAGAACGATTATATATTAATCACTTCTGGCCTATCAAATATTAGCCATTTGATTTCTTTTTAAAAAAAATTATACATAATAAACTATTATTTTTAAGATAAATATTAAAATCTATTATTTAGTTTAGTTGAATGGTTTAATCAAATTTGAGCTCCTAAGATATAAAAACATTTATCTATATAATCTTTAAATAATAATTTTTCAATATTTTGAACATTAAAATTTAATTAATAAAATAAAATATTTTTACAAATTAAAAAAGTAAATAAAAGGAAATAAAATTAATGAATAAATGTTTCTTATTTAATCTAATTAAATTTTATAGTAATAACCTTATATTTTAAATGAAACATTAATTTGTAATTAGAAAATTATTTTTCACTATGGTATAGTAAGAACTTTGAAATTTTAAGTTATACATGTAACATAGTAAAATTTCAGTGCAAAATGAATAATTTAAACATTATTGTGTTCTCTTTTATTGTATATTATTATGTAATAAAATATAATAAAAATAGAACCTGAGCCACTTAATCATATAATACAACTTCATGTAAAAATTGCTACACATTGGTCAGAGGAATATGTAGAATTTTAATTAATGAAACAAATTATTAACAACATACATAATATAAAACAGGTATATAGAAAATTGTTTTTGTACTAATTTAATATAAATATATATATTAAAATTTAAGAGTATAGCTTTTACAATTAATTATCAAATTTAGTTTTATAAATATTCATTAATTATAAAAAATAGTGATAGCAAAAAAAATCTATACCTATAAATTTACTAGAAAAAAAAAAATCACTTACTGTTCATCTGAAGGGTCATTTAAACTATTCACTGAAGAAGCAGCAGATAACTGAATTTTTGGTTCGTGTTTGGCTAAAAGTTTTTCTTCAATTTCACGTTCTTTAGCTGCTGTATCAACAGGTTTGGCACCTCCAAATATTGATGGAGGAGCTATATAATTGGAATCATCAGTCTTCGTAGTAGCATTTGAATCAACAGTCTTAGGTTTTAAAATGAGCTTTGGTCGTTCCCGAGGTGGAGAAGTACCTTAAATTTAATTTACATTTTAAATAAATTCAAGATATTACAAGCTAAAATATTAAATTACTGATTTCAGGCAAATCATCTTCACGCTTAAAGCCAAAACCTCGTCGTGATTCTCCAAATGGTTTACGTTCAGAATCATCTCGACGATCATTAAAAGGTCTTCTACCACCTTCAAAATCATCATGACGCCTATCACCAAAAGGTCGTCGATTTCCATCAAAGTCATCAGTTCTACGGTCACTAAAAGGTCTTCTACCACTAGGGGCATCATCATCATAGTTCCGTCTACTACCCCTAGCCCAAGGACCACTGTCTCTCTCACTATCATGATCTTTGTCAAAAGCACCACCATCTCTTCTTCTTGTAAAACCTGTTAATATTATTAATAAATAAACAATTGAAAATGTATGTTGAAAAGTTAACACAATTTAATAAAGTAACAAAGAAGTCAATAGAATCAATTAATTATTTCAAAAACTTTGAAATACAAAATTCTAGAGAAAACTAAAAAAAACTTTCCAAATTAGATAGTAACTTTATTTTATTTTTTAAGTGCAGTATTTAGTAACTAAATATAAATATAAATATAAATATATATATATATATATATATGATACATTTCATTTTTTATTATTTTACTCAACCTGTTGGGGTATAAAAAATTATAACTTTTGTATTTTATGATAAAATAAGATAAAAGAAAATAGACTTGGTTTGGAATGATTTGGTTATGTTATGAGGAGAAAAGAATCTGAAGCTGTAAGAATAGTTATGAAAATGAATGTTGATGACTGAAAAATTAGATGGAGGGATGTTATTAAATGTAATATGAAACTGATGTGTGCGTAGATAATGGGATATTGAGTCAAGTGGATGTTTTAGATAAGGGTGGCAACTACAAGTAATTTGGATTGAGGCAAGGAAAAAGAAGATCATTACATTTAATCCTTTATAACATTATTACTTTGTCATATTTAGAATATTATTAAATAAGACAGATGTTGGATGAATTATACATTTTATAAATAATAAAAAGAAAATGTAGAACAAGTATTGTGTATATCATTAAGTATTCAGTATTTATTGTTTTATGAACTAAACCTTATGGTAATTAACCAAAGAGTTGAATAAAATATCCTAAGACAGATAGTTGTCATATACCATTATTCACTTAACAGATTACTTTATCTAAAATTAAACAACTGTAGAACAACAATATTTGTCTGGTATCTACGTTAAACAGTGTATTTAAAATAAAAATTTTTTTTATGTAACATTATAATATAATATATACCTCCTCTATCATCAGATGTAGTTGAATTTCTAATACGCCAATCACTGGGAGAATCACTTTTGAAATCCATTCCCATTCGATTACTTCCTCGTTGAAAGGCATTTCTTGAGTCTTGTGCACCACTGGCAAGTTCTACACGGACTCGACGACCTCGTATCTTAGATAAAACAAAACCAATAATTTTTAACTTAAAGTGAAAACAAATTACCAATATGCAATTATTAACATTTTGTTTATTATTTAATTATAATAGATTTTTTTAAACATTTTCAAAATAATTATTTAAAAAAAATTCAAAGGTTCGGGTTGGTTATTACTTGTTAGTGATATATTCTCACTTATAATTTCAAGGAAATATTCTCATGAATTAACCAATTAAAAAATATAGCACACTGGATTGTAAAATTGATTAGATACAGCAATTTTTCACTAAAGAATGCAAAATACTATACTTCCGTTGACAACCAAAATAATAACTAAACGATTATTTTAGTGCTTTTTTGGAAGATTTCGACTATAAATAAAATTAACATTTTGCTTCAATTAAAAAAAAATTAGAATGCTCACCAGATTTTCCATTCCCAAAGCGATAATAAGATCTTTCCGTTCTTCAAATTCAACATATCCAAATCCTTTGTTGCGGCCATTATCATTACGCGGTAATTTGATATTTTCTACCTAAAATATGAATGTCACTAATAAATATTTAAAAGACAACTATATAAATAAAGTATTCCAAAAGAACATTTCATAGTAGTTTGAATAAATTAAATGAATCAGTTGTTATATATGTGTAAATACATTGCACTGGCTCAACTAAAACTAAAAGCTATAGGAGCTCCAAATGTTCATATTCGCCTTTAAATCATCATTTCAAAAAAACAATAATAATAAAACCAGTAGTATACTTAAACATTTTAATTTACTAAGTTATAAGAAAACTTTATGGTACTCAAATCTGAAAATTGATTAACCCTTATCAGTTTTAGAGCATTAAAAGTTTCTTACAAAATTATAAGAGACAGAAACTTAGTCATGAAATTGATTTAGGTAACTTAATAGCTTAGTATTACAATGAAATTTTCTTTCCAAGTGCATAGCTTGAATATTAAAAAGTATTACTTATAATAAAAATGTTTATTTCTTTGCGACCATTTTAAGCATTCAAAAGCTATAGAACAGTGTCTAAAGAATAATTAATTTAACACAGTTTCTGCAAAAATCTTATTGAGAGCAATAAGTTCATCAACTCTGTGTATTTATTAATTTAGCAAGTTAATAATTTCTTAAATTAAAAGAGTTATTATACATTGTTCAACTTTGCTGCAATGAACCCAATTGTTATTATGTTCCTAAATACTTCTTACTCACCCATATGGCAGTGGGTATTTTAAATCTTCCCTTTTTTTTTCACAATAAAAGTTGAAGCAAATTGGTCACAGCAATAGGTCCTAGACTCATAACACAAAGATGAAATAATATCTTCATTTAGTAACAAATGAAAATTGTTATCTTTATTTTGAATTATTTTAATTTAGTAGATGGAAAAAATATTGTAAATATAATAGTTCATCCTATTCTTTCTTTCTTTCAACAAACTATGAACATAAAGCCCTTTAGCATTAAAATTAATTAGTTTAACACTACATTTTGAATATCTTTTGGATTTAGAAAAAAATTCATAATATCAAGAAGAAAAATGTTTCGTACCTTTAGACCTTTAAAATAATTAGTAATATCATCTTCATCGATTTCAAATTGCAAGTTTGACATATGAACCATGAATGGTCCTTCTTGAGGTACAGTACTCTCATCTATGAGGGTTTCACAAGCAGCTCTAGGAGCTTTCGGAAGATTTAAAGGCTTAGCTTCAAAACCAAAACTACTAAATCCTAAAAATAAAAAACCATAATTTAGTATAAACACAAAGGTAATTAATAAGAACAAATAAGCTTTAATGGCTAGGCTATAATATGAGAATTAAACTTAATAAATTTTTTGAGATATAATAATGGATTTAGAGCTAATCTCAAATGTACAATAGAAATGAGATTAATAGGTTGATGTTTATGAAAACGTAGACATGACAAATATAATCAACTTCAATTATTTATCAATAAATAAAGAATTTTTTGCTGTATATCATAGGCTGTTACTTTAATTCCTATATGTAGGTTAGTTATATTATTTTTGTCATTAAGTAAAACACATTATGCTATTTATAAGCTTTCCAGATCAAAATATTTTATAGTTTTGTTATTTTCCTAAGTTTTTCAAATTATCTTCTCATAAAAACTGCCTAATTATTTATACATTGGTAGGTAGTTTAAGTTTTTTTTTGTGTTAATTGTTACAAATATATTACTAAGTAAAATTAAAACAATTATTTCCATAAAGTAGTTGACTTCTACATATTTTTTGTATATATAATATATATATTATTTCAAGCTAGAGCAGATATGATGAATATTTATTAATTCAATGATGAATTCATATTGCAACAATTTTACTATTGATATTACTTAATTGTAATTTAAAGGTGATTTAGAATTCAACTATATAGTATTAATGCCATAGAAAATAATTACACTAACTGAACTACATATATTTTTTAAGAATAAACTATTAATTTATTATAATCCTTCAGAGTTAAGAGATTACAGTCAGCAAGAGATTAGTCTGAATTGAGTTATCTTGGAAAACCAAGACCTTGCAAATTGAACTAAAAGTGCGAATCACAGGAGTTTCCAACAGTATCATAGATCAAGGTTTCAGCCAAAGGCATCTTAAACCATAAGTATCTATAAACTGGACCAATTTCTGGTTCTCCTGCCCAACTTAATAAAGAAGGCCCTCGGTTGGAGGGTTATCGATTTTATCTCAGACCTTCCCGAGGTAAATATAAGTAACAATGTACTCTGTGTGTATACCCCTGAAGCAAGATTCTTGTTGACTGATATTACACTCTAATAATGTGGTTTGGTAACCATAATAAAACGGTTTAAACTCACACTTTCATCATAAGGTAACATACATAAACTATTTATTACTAAAACATTGACTAAAATTAAAAACAAAATCTTACCATTTTGTTCTTTTTCAACTTCATCAGCCCAGCATGTTCCACTGGCTATTGAAATCACTTCTGTTTCTATTGGCTTCCATTTCTGCTTTTTTGATTTCTTATCTAAAAATGAATGATTATAAAAAATAAAAACTAATAAATAATACTAGTTTATAGTTCAACACACCATTCAGATTAAGTTATAATTAAACAAAACTTTCATCCCCAATGTTAGCTTACATCATTACATGTTATCAAATGAATGTTTTAAAAATCAATATTTTTAAGTCATTTTATCATTTTATAACTTAGCTCATTTTATCTAATGAAAATTGCAACACTATTATCATAAAATTAAATCAAAATAGTTGATAATTGATTCACATATATTTATAATTAATTTTAAAACGCGTAGATTTGTTTAATGAAACTGATTTTAACTAAGTTAAATTGATGTTTTATGAATCAAGATACAGTAGGATAATTTTATATGATATATCATAATAATAATTTTTTATCTTAATATAATAGTTTTATTTAGTCATATATAATTTAATTCAAAACCAAATTGAAATAAACATAAGATATCTAGTATATTTAAANTCATATATAATTTAATTCAAAACCAAATTGAAATAAACATAAGATATCTAGTATATTTAAATTATCCAAATTATTAGCATATTAATTATCTAATAAATGTATTTATAAGGGTTTAAATGGGAATAACTAAAAACTAATGTAACATTCCGGATTGATGGACTGGTTAAATGAAACAAATCCCTCACTAAAGAATGTATTAAACTAATTTTACTTTACTTCCATTTGACGGCCAAAAGAACAACAATATAATTTTGGTGCTTTTAGGAAGATAATAAAAACAATTAATCATTCTATGTGTAAAATAAATGTTATTATTATGACAAATATAGTAATTGGTTATAATAAATTAACTCTTTAATTTTAAAAATATAAATCCACTGAAATTTATTTATAAATAAAATTATGATTCACGAAAGTAATAATTTCTTTGAAAGTACAAGTCATAAAAGACGCAGAAGTACTCAATAAATAATTTAATAGATTTAGAGAAAGTGAAACAGCATTAAGAAGTTCATGTTTACACTCAAGATTACATAATATGTAATAAAGAGAAGTAGAATGATTAATTAATGTGGTATATTTATTATATCCAAAGTCAAACGAGTCATACAGTCTTATGTTTTAATGAGCTTCGCTCATGTATCTGTTATCATATAAAATATCGAAAATTGATAAAAAGAATTTGCAATGTTATTAAGTTAAATAAATTTAGTATTGCAATAAATAGTTAAATGATTTACCAGGTAAAATGTATTACAATTTAAAACAAATTACTTCTTAACGCTGTAAACCACGTTCCCGGAAAAACGTGGTCTACGATGCCACGAGGGTTTAACGCCCTCGTAACCATAGGTCATACTATAATAGTATAATAAAAAATATTTCCTTAGTCAATTTAAAAAAATACGGTTATTATTACTCACTTGACATAATGGATTGAACGCTGCAAACTAAACTTCCTAATAGTTTTCTGAAAGAAAATTTGTCACACAATCGGCACTAACAAATGTGTTAATGCCGTCGTGCAAATTGTAAATGAACGAAAGAGTGTGCGGTGGTGAGTAGTGTTGAGAGCGGGGTACAAAAGAGTAGGGATACCTATGCACTGCCGACAAGATTGTCGAGCGCTGATTCATTGGTCACTTATATAACGTAGCAACTTTCAAGGAGGTTAGAAAATTAGTGTTAAGAAATATTTTATTTCTTTACATACGTGTAATGATATTGGTAACGTTTTAATTTATTATAATGATTTTCTAGATGCAATACGTAATCACGACTCAGGTGACACAATTACAAGTTAATAGCTTTTTAATTTAACAATCACATAAATCTACATGAAACTAGACCTATATTTAAAGAACTCCGAGTTTTAATATTATTAGTAGACAAATCAAATCAAATTTAGTAAAATACAATATATTACTTGTTTTTCATACTTATCTTTAATGTAATGTTTACATTAATATTGTAAATAGTTTTTTTTCTAACTCTCATGGAAAAATATAGTATACCTATTTTTTTTTTATTTGTTATTACTTCTAATTGTTTTAGTATTTCATAATAATAAAATTGAATGATTGATTAAATTGTCTTACGAAATGTAATTAATCATCTTGTATGTTATGAAAATACTAACACAGTTGAAAACATTTCATACAATACTTATAATTCTATTTATTAAAAAAAAAATAACTAAGTTTAGACCTTCTAAAAAAAACTAGAATGTCTAGAAAATTTTATAACGTTTAAAATACAACTTCATATTTCTACTCCAACATTAAGAGTATCATAAATTTACGAACTATAAAATATTTTATTCTTAACGTAAAAAAAACCCAGCACAAGGGGGTCGCGGCACAGTGGTGACGTGATATAGTTGGATTAAGTATAATGATATCTGACAGTGATTAAAATCACTATAAAAAAAAAAGGCTTCGATGCAAATCTTTAGATATTGTTTAATTTTAAAAAATTGGTGGATTATTTCAAAAGCTACATGATCTACTAGTTCCTTATTAATATCCTGATTAAGATAAAGTATGTCGAATGAAAAAGGGATTATTAAAAAATATTATTTCTTATAAAAAAATTGTGTTGATCCATACACTTTTCAATAAGTTATAACATTATAAAGTTAAAAAAGTAAAAAATAAAATCGAGAATTTTCACACGAAAATAGCATTTGGTAATCATTTTCACCGTGAAGACAAAATAAAGTCCGAAATTTATTTTTCCATGATAAACTATATTACATTAGTTTTAATTTGTGATATATATAAAAGTGTCAGACTTTCCGGAACACTTTCAAAAGTTAAGTTGAAAAAGTAAATTTTTTGTGAAGAAGTTGTCATTTTAAATTCCCCCCTGTGGGCAAATAAAGGTTCAGATTTATAAAAAATATATACCAAATGAAAGGTAATGATATGCATCTATATAAAAAAAAATTATATTGAATTGTTTATTTTTAAAAAAGTTATGGCAATATAAGTAAAAAAAATTGAAAAAATGTCGAAAATTAGCGATTTTCAAATTTGTAATTTTTTTGAAGGTTTCCCCCATTTACGGGCAACGAGGGTAATTTTTTCAATTTTAGAGGGTAATGTCTTCGACTAGATACGATTTGTGATCTTTTGACGTATCGTTGAAAGAAATCCGTTCGATGAAAAGCTGAGAAAAAGAGGTAACAGACACAAAAAAAAAACACATAGTAAAACCAATACCTTCTCAGGTTCGCATCGAAGCTAAAAAATCACTTTATTATTATTTATCAATCTGTTATATATTTAGGAACTGTAACCAAATGAAAATAAAACAATGTGAATTTATAAATTGCAAATCCTCTTTAATTTTATGAAGTTTTTTGTAAATTAATTGTTTATTACTTAGTTAGATATCAATAAAAATACTAAATGCACGATAAAGTTCTAATAACATAATTGTGATTAAATTAATTTGATATAACTAATGAAAGTTTACAATTCCATATTTTGCATATATTCTCTAAATGTGTATTATTTTTAAAATATTGAACTGTTTTTCGAGATGTTAGCTACAACTTGTCTAAGATACTTTTAAAATGTTTATTGAATACCTATTTAAATACAGCAGGCTAAATGTATTCAGAATACGTATTCAAATACTAAAATAAAGAGTTTTTTTGATTTTCTCAAAATTTTCATTACTCATTTTTTCTTACAGAATTTATATAAGTATTAATAAAATGATATAAAATTACGATTATTACTATGAAAAGTTTATAAAAAAAATAATGAAACTATGTCTACGAATGAATGTTTTTTTATGCGTACTTTTAATGATAAAAGTGCATAATTCATTGATATTTTTTTTCAAAAATATATTGTTAAGGAAATTTTGGTTAAGATTTTCTTAATTGCCTATGGTATAAAATTCTTAAATAAGACTCTAAACGCATGTTACATTAAAAAGTATTTTATATTCTAAATACAAATACGTTCAAAAAGTATTCTTTTGATTACTAGTATTTCAATAGTTTTATAAGTTTACAACTTGTTGAATAACAAGTTGGCCATCCTTTGTTCTTTTCATATACTTATAATTTGTGACCAATTGTTAAAATTTAAAAAATAATTATTGGATGACCATTATAAAAGCTGCATAAGCTCAATTAATATTTTTGGGGTGAGTTTTATGAAATCATAACTGTGCATAGTTAAAAAACTAAGTACAAAATTTGATGATAATTTTTTATTGAGAAATCACTTAGAATCTAGTACTGGTACACAAAATTAAAAATGGATAGTCTGCCCCTTTATTTTCAAAACTAATACTACATATAGTAAATGAATATATATTATAACCACTGAATATTTCTCAATACTCAATGGTAGATCAAAAGTTGAGGGTTAATTAATGATAAAATATTTACACAAAATTAAACATTGAATATGTGCATTATAAAATTAAAACAAATAAATAATATCTTCAATCCTAAACTTAAGTTTCTGACCCCTTAGATACTATTAAAATTGTGTTTTAGATTTATAAACATTTAAGGTCTAAATTCATGTGGGCCCCTCAAATAATGCGTTACAGTAGTTTATAGGTAATCCAAATGACCATAGAAAAACTAAAAGTTCTAAAGCCAAAAATAACTAAATAAGCAATAAAAGGTAAAATAAATTTTTTTTACATTTATTCTATATTAATAACATATATATCATCAAAATTATTGAATTAAAAATGTAACAATAAAAATATTTTACATGGTATACTACCGTAACATTTTAAATAAGCTAATTTATAAAGAATTATTATAAGTATTAAGTTACACAAATTTGAATATTATAATAGAATGAAAAATTTTAATTTAATCAAACAAATATTTTGGTAAAGTATTTCTATTGGGAAAACTTTTTTGGGTACCTTTTTGTTGCACTGTAATAGAAGCTATTGTACATGCTCTCTTAATTTTTTCATACAAATCTAAATTTGGCTTATGGACAATAAAATATGCTAAAGCTCCTATAAAGGCATCTCCAGCACCCTGAAATTAAATTTCATTTTAATAATTGAAAGGTATTATTTAATAATTTAACATAGGTGGAAGTAAAGTATTCATTGGTGCTTATTGACTTTTTTAAAAAAAATATATATATACATAGTATTTATATTACGTGATGTAAATTTACATTTATATTTTATAGTTGGGTTGTCTGATCTAGACATAAATTAACTGTAACAATAGTAAAAGTTGAATATAAATATTTTTCAAATTAACCTCAGCCAAATGAATTATAGCTAAAGTATATAGGGTAAACTACAATTATTTATTACTCTATAGATTTAAAACATACATAATAACCTACATGTTATATAACACATTAAACAGCTATCTAAAAAATAAAATGATAAGTTGATAACAAATCCTAAACTACAGTAATAAATGAAAATTAGTAATTAACTAATTTACCACCAGACTAAGAAAGGAGGGTTTGTAATGTATACAGACAGCTCCAAGAAATTAGGAAAGGTTATAGCATTTGAGGATTAAAACCATAAATATCAGCATGTCAATGGAAACAATACCCTCTGTGTTTTAAGTAGAGATAATGGCAATACTAGGAGAAGCCCAGAACCTATTAGTATTCAAGAAAAGTTACATAATTATCCTAAGTAATAGTCAAGCTGCTCTGAAGACACTTAGTAATAACCAGGTGAATTCAAGGCTAGTCCTTGAATGCAGGGAAACTTTAGAATCACTAGCAAAATTTAATAAATTTACAATGGGATAGGTATCAGGACACAGTGTTGTGACTGGTAATTTAAAAGCAGACTTTCTAGCAAGGAAAGGTGCAGAAAACACCTATGTTGTACCAGAACAAGTGGTAAGACTCACAGAGCAACCCTTCAAAGTACTACCCAGATTCTCTACTGGTGTAGAGAACACAAGAAAATATGGTATTATCAAGTTACTGAGGGATTTTAATAACATGATTAGATATCAAATGTGTACTTTTACTGGACTACTAATAGGACATGGTCATCTGCTTAAATATTTCTATACAATGGAAGTGATAGAATCACCACTGTGCAGAAAGTGTCGAAAAGAAGAGGAAGATTCATTTCACATTAAGTGTGAATGTTATAACTTGGCCACATTAATATCTAAACATTTGGAAAAATCTTTTCCTAGAAAAGAAGATATCAAAAACCTAAAACACAAAAAAATATTTAAGTTTGCTAGAGAGACAGGACTCTTTGAATACATAAAGGTGCGGCCTAGAAGGACATCCTGCATTTAGTCTTAGGTATTCAACAATAGCAACATAACTTCAGTGTAAACATTTATGTGAAGAAACTAAATTTATATAATTCGGTAGGAGGTGTACACAATGGACCTATAGGTCTTGCCCATTTCTATAACAACTAAAACTAAAAACTAATTAATTTTCTAATTGGATGATTTTTAATGCTCGAAAGTTTATTTACAAAATTATAGTAAAATATTTAGTAATTTTAGAGTAAAATTTAAAAAAAAACAATATTTTAGTTCCACCATTATTATTGAATAATTTACGAGTTGAACTTGCAGTAGTATCAATAGGGTTAGTAACTTTTGGTGAATGGACCCATTGAGGTTCAGAGTTATTTTTTGAAGCAAAAACAGCACCTAATGATCCTAATGTTATGATAACAGTATTACATCCTTGTTTCAAAAGTAAAAATAAAGCTTGATTAGCTGTCTCAATACTATTAATTTTTATTATTTCATTTGTATATATTTCTGCTTCAGATTCATTAACACAAAATATATCAGCTAGTTGAAATATTTTGTTATGCAAATTTGAATACGCTGGAGCACCATTTACAATTTTACAGCCTAGAATAATTAAACATTTTAAATTAGTGTAGTAACATAAAATATAAATTCACACGCCATTAAATATAACAGCAGATATTTTAAATTATTTTAAATAACTTAATAAATTCAAGGAGATCATAAATAATACTAATTAAATCAAAGATTGTAAAAACATTAAAAACTAAATATTTTCTTAAGTTGACTATTTGGCTTTTTTCTATTTTAATATATTGCACAGCATACTAAACCTATCTTAACAATCTTAATTAAAAATCAATTTGACTTCTGTGCAAAAAACTTATAAATACTTAATAAATGAAATAATTTTCTTTAAAAACATTTACAAAAGATCTTCTTCTTCTTCCTTGCTCTAATCCCAACTACTTGGGGTTGGCCACCTTTATCCTTAACTTCCACTTGACACAATTTCCTACATCATCTACGCTCACATCAGCTGTCCTCATATCGCATTCAATAGCATCCCTCCACATCTTTTTTGGTCTTCCTCTACCTCTTCTATCTTGAACATTAATTTCTATAATTGTTCTTACAGCTTCCGATTCTTCTCTCCTCATAAAATAACCAAACCATCTAAGTCTATTTTCTCTCATCTTATCCACGATTGACACTACACCTATACTCCCTCTTATATGCTAGTTCCTTATTCTATCTTTTCTAGTCACTCCACTCATCCATCTAAGCATTCTCATCTTTGCTCTACTTCTTATCAACCGCTTAACACTCTGAACTATACATCATAGGTGGCCTCACTACAGTCTTGTAGAATTTACTTTTCAGCCTCATTGGTATTCTTTTATCGCATAAGACGCCAGACGCTTCTCTCTACTTCAACCACCCACACTTAATTCTGTGTCTTACATCCTCGTCAATACCACCACTCTTTTGCACAACTGACCCTAAATACTTAAAACTCTCCACCTCTCCAATCACGTCCACGCCTATTGTCACTGACCTCCTCATTTCATCTACCTCGTGTTCTCTTTTGTCAAACTCGTACTCAAAAACATTTACAAAAGATAAATAGTTTATGTATTCATGTTTTAATTGCTACACACCATCAATATGAGGTGTGATGTGGCACAGTGAAATAATCAGAGGCTATCAACAATGATGTCCAAATGCACTGTCATTTTTGGTTCCTACATGGGTGACCATACGGGAACTTTAACAGTGATAACTTAACACTTTGTCACTTACCTTCAATGGATGAATACACTTGTATTCATAAATACAAGTCCATCTGTCTATAACATATCATTTAAGCGTAGTTAAATCTTACTCACATCTATTATTAATTTTAGATAATTTGTTTAGCAAATATTCTGTTGTTTCTAATGGAGTTTCAAACTGAAATATTACAACACCAATTTCACTATGAAATAATGTTTCAGCTTTATCTATGTCAGCTGGTAGCAAAGTTCCATTAGCTCCAGCCACTATAATGATATAATTTTCACCTAAATATTAAAAATGAATGCTAGGCTATAATTATAAATGATTAAAGAAATAAATTAAATTTACAACATTTACCATCATCAGTAACATTAATTTGAGCTACTCCCGTGTCTACGTTTGCTTTTTTTATAATATAAGTAGTATCAACACCAATGTTTTTAAAATTGTCTATTATATCATTACCAAAAATATCAGTTCCTACCTGTAACATTAATTTTAATTCTTTTGTAATAAACATTATTAATCCTACACTAAGTGCAATACCTCATAAGAGTATTTTTACAAAATTTTATTTACCATCTAAATTATTCAATACCAGGATCTAAATGGTAAATAAAATTTTTTTATCATAAATATTCTAATATGATATTTCTCTTAGTATAGTAATATTACAATATAACCATGTACATATACTGTAAAATATCATACACAGCCAATAAATACAGTATCAGCTCCCAATTTTTGAGCAGCAACACATTGATTGGCTCCTTTACCACCAAAATCTACTGAGAATTGTTTACCATGTATAGTTTGTCCAGGAGTAGGCAGTTTTGAAGTGTAGCTATAAGTATAAAAAATTATAATTTATGATTAATTATGAAGTAATAGAATATACAAAAATTACTTCTATTGGTAAGTGATCAGATTTTTTTTGGATACATAATAAACTGGAAATAATTATGGAATAAAATTTTTTGCTGTTTGCGATTCATTTTTTTTTTTTAAATAAAAAATCAATATTTTGAAAAAGAATCTACAGTTTATATAATTTAGAAAACATTAGTGTTTTTTAATGAAAATAACAAATCAATATTCTATAAAAATCATACTTCAAAGAAAGTTAATAATTCTTGCCATCAAACTATGGTATTGAAAGAAATTTTAACATGTGTAATCAATTATATGGTATCTTTCAGATATATGTCTATTTGAGCATAGTTTAGTAGACAAAGTTCTTACATATGCAGATGATACTGATTTTTTTTTTAAGGAAAAAAATGTTATTAATCTTGAATTGGTGGCATAACACAATTTTATTTAAATGAAAAATTAGCCTGTTGTAAAATTAATTATTATGCAATATAAAGAAAATTGTTTTTGTGAAATTTGCATTATCTAAAATGTCATTCCTACAAAATAATTATTTTGGAAAATCTTTTACCTTTATGTTCTAGAAAAGGGAATTGTGGTTTTAGTTGTTTTACACTAAACCATGTTTATAATGTAAAATATCCAGGTTTTTATTTTTATGAGGATATAAAATGGAAAATACAAACAAGTTAAATATATTCTTAATTTTAATTTTTAAAGAGTTAAATCTTATTTTAAGTATGTGAACTTTACAAAGTATTAATTTTGCATTCGTATAGTCAGTGTTATTTTACAGTATAGTTTTATGGAGATAGGCTTACCCATCTACTATTGAACAATTAAATACTACACAAAATATTATTTAAAAATGCACTAAAAGGATATAGTGAAATGAATACCTCATACCTATTTGAAATTTTGAGAATACTTAATTTAATAACCTAACTACATTCTGATATATATATATATGAATAAATCCAAATAATAAGTACTTAAAAAATATTTTTAAAGGAAAATAGGAAGGTAGTCGTAGGTTTCCTAAAATAAATACTACTACTTATAAAAATTATTACTAATTCAGAACTATATCAATATTCAACAAATTAACTATAGAAAAGATTAATAATTAATATGATTTTTTTAAAACTAGAATAAAAAATTATATGATAGATAATCACAACAATTAATAATATGGTAATCAGCTGTAATTTTACACTTAAATCTATGATACTATTATTTTGTTGTTGTTAAACTTGAATAGAAACATCAACAATTGTATTTGATTAAAAAAAAACAAATAAATACTTAAATGAAAAATAATAAATGAATGAAATAAAAATAAATACTTACAAAAATAAATCAGTACCACAAGAACCAACAACTACAATTTTTGACATATTTTTTTATTTAGATAAAAATATATATTAAATATACAATATTTAATTAAATAACTTATAAAATAATTAAAAACAAAATTTCACACAATACATGATAATGAAATTACAACAGTCATCAAATAAATAACAAGTACTTTATCATAAAATAAATGAACTCTTTCTGAATAAAATACAATATACATTAAACTTTTGAGATAATATATGAAATTATTGGTAGGTAGTACCTATTAACATTTATGATATATTTTTTACTAGACAATAAATGTTAGAAAAATGGTGATAGTGAAAGTACCAATGATAATATTTTGTAATTCTTGTTTATAAATTATATTAATTTAATTTAACTTATTTATTAGTATTATTTTTTTATTAAACCGTTATTAAAAAAATTTAAATGTCCTCAAAATTTTTTTGTGCAAATGATACTCCTCTGATTATTACATTAATTATCAATTTAATTGTGTGTTATAAATAAATATTCAACTATGTTAATAAAAAAAAAAAAGTCATAACTTTCAATTTCTCACTCCATTTCACGTTTCATTCAAATTCTCTCCACGTAAAAATTGTTATTTTGAGAATACATTTTTTCATATATATGTAAAATTTATCTTGTTTGTAAAACCTTTTATCATTGTATGACTTTACCCCTACCTCTTCTTTGTATACGAGTCTGCATCATAGATGCAATTTGCAAACAGAGCATGCTAAGTAATTTTTGCAGAAAAGCGATTTTTTCCTTGTTATATTATATAATAAGACGAACTAAACATTTTTATATTTTGTACCTGTGGTTTACAATGAAATAATTATAAAAATATACACAAGATTCCTTAATGAGAAGATATCGCCGGTGGTATTATACCTGTTAAATTATTTCTACGTCATCTAAACGAATTTGAATTATATCTTAACATTTGCTTTATTACATCTTAGAAAGAATATAAGATCATATTCTTATTATTATTTCGCTACTTGAGATTACATTTTTTAGTAGTTTCAGTACTAAAGTCCTATCCGATACACAAATCTTTCTCATAACTCTCAAATTTTTCATATAGGATTGACTTTTATTCCTATTCAATACTAAATTAATTAATAGAATCAACTTATATTTGATATCATTTGCCTAACTGAAATATCATTTTTGGCCTCTTTTGAATGATTTCTTTTATCCACCTCTCTATATTAGACATATAACCTCTGCGCAATTTTAACGCTAAAAAAAATTGTAATGACTTATATGAGATTATTCCTTCCCTTCTTTAATAAATCTTCACTACGCTACACAACGTTTACAACAAAAGTAATTTTCATCTTATAATAAAAACTGATGTTATATTTTGTACATTAACTTATTATAACAATTATTTGAATTTTTTAATAAATTTCAATAGTTATTATTTGTAGCATTAATATCATATTATCATAAGCGTATGCATGGGGACAACAAAGAAAGCTTTTTTTGTATCCCCCTAGTCGGGTTACATTAAGCGAACTGGTTAAAATCAACAAAGCCAACCAAACTTTGATGCTACCTTTAGAAATTCTAAAAAAAATATCCGACTAAAAAGTAATAATAAAAAAATTAAATTTAGCACAACTTTTCATAGACCTTATAACAACCCATTACAATAAATAAAAGTTAGAGATTATAAACAAAAAAATGTATGATATAACGAAATACTAAGATTGGTATTGTTCAATATTTCAATATTCTATCAGTAGAATAATTAGTAGGGTTAGGATAGCTATGTGGGCTGCTGTAGGTCATTTCTGTTCAAATTTGCTACCAGTGATTTATAATTATGAATTTTTCAAGTCGGATAGCACTAACACTTTGTATAATAAATTGTCAAACATAGAAAGTTTTGTCATTAATAAAAAAAAAAAAAAATAATAAAATACATAGAAAAATTAAAATTTTACTCATAAATATAAAAAAAGAACATAATAAATACCAGTATAAATTATAATAAATTAATTAACATAGTTTGAAAATTGCTCCTAATTAAGTATACAATGAAATAAAATGCATTTGGATAAAAACAATCATAAATATTTTTTTATGATTGTTTTTAAGATGATACATAATAATTCAAATTGCATTAATAACAAATTTTACTATCATAACACAAAAATTCTTATTTTTCATCAAAGCTACGTCTAAATTAATTAACTTTTATACAAAAAAAAATCTAACGATGGGTATAATAGTAAAATGTCATCTTAAAATGATATAAATGGTTTTATATTTTTTGTTCGCGACTCATTTATAAATAAAAATTATGTTAGTTTACTTGCTTTTTTAATTTAAGTAACTTAGTTATAATTTAGTTATCGAAACAAAAAAAGTAATCTAATGTACAACTTTAATAAAAAATGTAATAAAATTTTTAAAAATTAAATTTTATTATAACAAGGATTTAATAACTTTTTATATGCTTTAAAACTGGGTTACAAAATATGTATCACTCAAAGTGTTGGTGTTTATATTGAAAGCAGATTACGGAGGTCTGGTCACCATCTCATAAACAAAATCATAGTGCTGAAAGTATGGAGGGGTGAAGTTTTCCACTATCCTAAATTCTAGAAATTTATCTGGATTTTCATAATAAATATCTAAACATACTAATTTAAAATAATGAAGTGATTTTATCAACAAACACACAGCTGTTATTTCAAACTAACAATTGTATGTATAATATACTTCAACAAATATGCGAATAAAACAAATAATAAATTTTATTTTATCAGGAAATATTCTTTTTTTTTTTAATTATTGAATATAGTACAAAGACATTAAGAGTAAGTATTATTAAGATGATATTTAGATTCAAGCACGGTAATTTTTTTTAATTAATCTAAATAGCCAACTGAGATCTATCACATGTGATACGAATTTTAAACATAACGTGTTTTATAACGTAATGTGATTACAAATTTCATTTCATCTTATCTTATTCTAAAACAATGATTTGGTCTAAAATATAATAAAAAAAAGATATTTAGGTATTTGTGATACTTGCGATTGTTGTTATCTAAAAGGATAATTGATAACCAAAAAATACCAATATAGTAATAGTACATTCTATACATTAAGCATTAATAATTAGAAAAATAGTTGACGATGAAATAATGCAATGATGTTTAAAAATAAAAGTGCACTAGTCTCTTTTACTTTTAAAGAACTGTTACTGTCTTTCTGTTTTGGACCGTTTAGCATAGAAAACTCTCCAACGTTGTACCAAATAGGTCTACCAGAAAGTTCTTGAACTGGTCTGGCATTGTGCGTTAGTTGCCCGTGTTTGGAACGTAACATACGAAATGCTTGAATCTGTAAAAATAGAATAAGTTTTTTTAACTAATTTATTGATAATAAATATCAGAAAAAATTATTTATACTCTAAAATAATAAGATGAAACATATAATAAAATAAGGTAATTTCTACAAAAAAAAATAACTACGCTTAGTTTCTTCTTTATTTTGTTCCATTCATTATGCAGGAATATTAATTATAAACAGACTTTTTTCATAAAAATATCACATTGACAATAATAAAAAACATTATTCACTTATCTAAATTTAATCATATATAATGGGATCAGAAAAAAAAACATAAATGATAAAAAAAAAATTATATTGATCCATATATCTTTCAAAAAGTTATAGCATTATAAAGTTAAAAATATAAAAAAGAATTTTTTTACAAAAATCGTATTTTTTTTATTAACTTTGATGTCTGTTTTCACCCTGAATAGATTTTCATGATAAAGTATATTATATTAGCTTTAATTTATGATATATATATAAGTGTCAGACTTTCCGGAACACTTTCAAAAGTTAAGTTGAAAAAGTAAATTTTTTGTGAAAAAGTTGTCATTTTAAATCCCCCCCTGTGGGCAAATAAAGGTTCAGATTTATAAAAAATATATACCAAATGAAAGATAATAATATGCATCTATATAAAAAAAATTATATTGATTTGTTTATTTTTAAAAAAGTTATGGCAATATTAAGTAAAAAAAAAATTGAAAAAATTTCGAAAATTAACGATTTTTAAATTTGTAATTTTTTTGGAGGTTTCGCCCTTTTACGTGGAACGAGGGAAATTTTTTCAATTTTAGAGGGTAATGTCTTCGACTAGATACGATTTGTGATCTTTTGACGTATCGTTGAAAGAAATCCGTTCGATGTGAGCTGAGAAAAAGTGGTAACAGACACAAAAAAAAAAAAAAAAAAACATCATAGTAAAACCAATACCTTCTCAGCTTCGCTTCGAATCTAAAAGGAGTGTACAAATCAATAGCATAATATATTGTAAAAAATATTATTAGCTTCGATGCGAAGGTGAGAAGGTATTAATTTTACTATGATGTGTTTGTTTTTTTGTGTATGTCACTATAGTCTCCCCTCATAAGAAGAAATCATGTTAATATTATTTTACTATGTGTTTTTTTTGTGGCTGTGATTTATTTTTCCAACCTTCACTCGACCTACTTTTTTCAACGACACGTCAAATTATTAAAATTCGTATTTAGTTGAAGATATTATCCTCACAAATTAAAAAAAAATTCCTTAATCAAATAAAAAGTACCTTAAACAGCTTTATCCATACAAACAATTAAAATCATTCATTTCTAATATCTTTAAAGTATTGTCGAAATAGATTTGATATAATAAAAGTATTCAAATACAAAAGTAAATAATTTTACTTTGTAATTTATTAAATTTTTAACTTTATTTGTGTGTGCTACTACTAGGCTATAACATTCTAATTTTTTTTTGTATATTAATCTTATATAAATCGTAAATAAAAAAAAAAATGATATTTAGTTTCACCTGAATTTAACAATGAATTTTTACAATTATAATCAAAATGTATAATATGATCCATTGTGTAAATCTTTTTACACAACTTTTTTTTCATTGATTTTTTGGTTAAAGTAAATCATTAAAATTAATTTATTTCTGCATATTTCAATTGTAGAATATTTTAAACACCAAAAGTTAATTAGAAATGATTACTATGATTTCTACGATTTCTATTTAAGTGATCAATTACGATAAAAATGCAAAAAAAAAATTATAAAATTTTCTGACTGCATATTAATTTTAACAATACCATTTTTTTTCTATTTAATGATGTCAATTTCAAACATGCAAGTTGAGTTAAAAGTTATAGTAATAAATTCATTTTTTTTTTTATAAACTTTCACTTTATAGGATAAGAATAAGTAGGTTAAAAATGATTATTATTAACATATTAATAATCAAAATCAATAATAATTTGAAAACAATTAATTATAAAAATTATATATTATATTTTTGAATCTAAGAATTTCTAATCTGGATATAATTAAGAAAATAGAATTTGATTTTGTAATTATCCACCAATTTCTTAGAATTAAACACTATCTACAGATTTGCATCGAAGCCTTTTTATGATATTGATTTTAATCACTGTCAGATTAAATCTATACTGGACACAACTATGCCACGTCCCCATTGTATCGCGATCCCTCTGTGCTGGGGTTTTTTTATTAAGTTTTGAAATATAAAATAAAAAAAATTAAGAGTACAATGAAACACAAATTACAGTGTAATTATGTTCATATTAAACATTAATATTCTGTTACATTAAATTGGCATAAAATTAATGATACGCAAAAAGAATTGATCTCTTGATTAACTTCATTTAAAACACATTAAATAAACTAAACTTCCTAAAACCTTATTCAATTTATATGTGTTAAGCTCTGGTAAACAGTGATATGCCTGGCCAGTAGGCCGAGTAGGCATGAGCTCCATAAAAGTTTTATTTTCAAATAATGACCAAAAATAAAAAAGTGTTTAAGACGCTTCTAAAGAAGATATTTTTCGGTTCTAAGTCTTTAGACTAATTTGAACCTATATCTAAAGGTACAGGTTCAAATTATAATAATTGAAACTGTGTTTTTCCTAAAATTTAATCATGGTTCGCCTCACTGGTGATCAAATGAAACCCTAAGAACTTTTGACTAAATATGAAAAGTTTTCTCTTCAATGATAAAATTTTAAATAAAAGTTAAGCGAAAATTGTGACATAAAGCAACACAAACAAAATCTACTTTAAACAGTTTGTTATTTATCATACTTGGTTATGGGATAGCCAAATTGGTTGTTTAAAATCGATCCATTGTACTACTTCAAGACACGGTGGTGTAGTAAGTGATCCTTTGTAGGTAAAATAAAGTTCAGTGGATTCTGGTAACATAGATCTTATAGTGTTACCAACAGGTAATTCGGTGGTTTGATCGGGATTACGAATTCGGCTCAACGCTTCCACAATTTCAGCGTATACAGGATTGTCCTTTTCTCTGATCTCAAAAAATGAAGCTAAGACCACCAAACCGTCACTTTTAGTGGTTGCTACGTCGTAACTTGGATAATCGGTGTTCCAAAAAACCATGTGAAGTTCCATAGGATAGCTGTAACAATAAACGAAAAATTAAAAATAAAAAGGATAGCAACGTGGGGTCATGGAACAGTATGGACATAGCATAGATAATATCTGACAATGGTTAAAATCACTATCATAAGAAACGCTTTAATGCAAATCTGTAGATAGTCTTTAATTTTAAGAAATTGTTTGATTATTCTAAAAGCAAAATTAACTTCTATTTCCATAATTATATCCTGATTAGTAATTGATTTATATATATATATATATATATAAATCCTAATTAGAATAATTAAATTTAGTATGAAATTGATATTCAATAATTTAATATTGTAATTTTTACGAAGAAATTATAATAAATTGTAAAGTAGTTGTTACTTTTATGGCAAACGTATATAAAAATTGAAGAGTTAGATACAAAACTTTACAGAAGATAATTTGTTGTTATTATAAATAAATTATCTGCAAGGAATTTTTATCAGAGTCTAAAATATACTTTAATTTTCTATAATAGTACTATACATTTTTTGAGCCGATTTCAATTCTGCAATGTGATTTTTCCTATCACTTATAATTTTCGAAATCACTACTTATTAGTAAAAACGAGTACTAATATATATATAAAAATAACCAAAAAAAATATAGGTTAAAATGAAATTCAATAACATATTAGCAAACGAAATCATAGATGAAACTAGACACGGAATATTTTAAAATATTTTATATTTTAGAATACTATAAGATATAACTGTACTGAATATAGTTCTGAAAATTTAAATTGTAGCATCTATTAAAACACTAAGAGTTACATAGAAATGATTAGTTACGGTATCAATACAAAAAATATAATAAGTGGTTTTAATGAAATTTTTAGACTTTTTTCATAAATTAATTTAGATAGTAATTATAATATTTCCTGACTATATATCAATCTAAACAAAACCATTTTAAAATATTCATAAAATTTTCTATTTAATGGTATTAACTTCAAACTTGCAACTAAAAAAAGGTTAAAAGTTCAAAATTTTTAAATTATAAGCTTTCATAAAAATCAACTTTAAAGGACTAAAAAATTAGGTGTAACATGACATTTTGAATAGAAATTTTACACGTTTATTTTTAATATATTGAAAAACAATTTTTAAACATAAATACTTGTTTTTATAAATTATTAATAATCTTAAAAAAAGAGGCGATGGATAAAATCTAATTGCAAATTTGAAATCAGCGTAAAAACGTGGTTTTAACAAAGTATATTTATGCTGATTAAAAAATGTTTCATTTTAGTGATATGATTTTACTGTGTAATTTAGTATAAAAAAAAATTTTATACTTTTATTTTTGATTAAGATATTTATTTAAAAAAGTGTTTTTTGAAGTTGCTATTTTTTACAGTAGATATTTGTCTAAATTTCTATAATCAACATATTTTTTCCAATATTTGATGACTAACAGTTCAACTAGATTAAAAACTGTTCTTTTGACGTATTGATCATCAATATTGGTCAAGTGAGGACTGAGAATGTTTATGGACAGACATGAAAAACAATCATAAAGTTGTTAAACAAATCTACTCAATATAGCGTATTATAAAAAATGATTATAATTGTAAAAATCCATTATTATATGTATATGCGAAACCCAAAATCATTTTTTTAGAAATAATATATACAGTAACATGTTAACAGCAATACTCAAATAGAGTTAAAAAATTAATAAATATAAAGTAAAATTGTTTAAAATTGTATTTAAAACCTTTTATCATGTTAAACCTCATTCGACAATAAATACATCAAAAACATTAGAAATGAATGATTTTAATTTTCTATATGAAGAAATAAGGTATTTTTATAAAAAGTTATAGAAATATAAAATCATAAATTTTAATACAAAAATAACATATTTTTGAATACGGNAGTATAAAATCACAAATTTTAATACAAAAATAACATATTTTTGAATACGGTATTTATTTTTCCCATGAAGACAATCTAAAGTTCGAAATTTTTTACCAAATTTTACTAAGCGTTTAATTAAAATTGAATAACATCATAGTAAAAATATTTTTCTGTTCTCTGGAGAATTAAGTTAAAAAGACTGTAAATTTAGAGTTTTCATGTATATTTTTCTAAAATTAGTGACTAATTATTGTGCAGATAATTTAGCGACTAATTTGTTAATGCCTTTAATAGTTTAATTTTTTTGTGTCATAATCACTATTGAATTGTTTGTTCATCTGTTCTTAATAGTAAAAATAGAATTGTGAAATATCTAAACAACATACCTGTGATTATTTATGAGGTCTTCGCTACCAAAAGAATCGTTGACACCCCAATGGAAATGTAATTGAATAAACTTGTAAATTGGCGTTAAAGGTCCACCGCCAATCATGATTGGGGATGTATAATTCAACTGCAAGACAACTAAAAAAAAAGTGTATTACATTTTAATACGTTTTATATTTTTCGTGAGTATATGTATCCAATATAAAAATATAAAATAGAAATCGCTTAAAATTTAATTGATTATAATAGGACTTCATGTTATATATAAATCGTTAATATTTATTAATATTAATATGTATAAATAAATAAAAAATACTTATATAACATAGTTATTGAGTACGCTAATAAATCATAACTTGTTAATTATATTGATATGTAGATACTATAAAAAAATGTAATAATTCAAACCGTAATTTTGATATATATTAAAAAAAAACCAAGTAACAAATATTTAGGTTTAAACAAAATTTCATTTGTAAGTCATAAAACATTAAATAAAGTTCACTACCAATAAATATGTGGGTAAAAAATTTGATTTACTGTAAAAATTGAGCAGAACTATTTTTATGACTTAAAAACTTTTTATCTAAGTTTGAAGACAAAAATGATAAACTTTTCGAACAATAAAAATTTTTTGGGAATTGTTGACACAATCTCCCACATCATCTATGCTCACATCAGCCGTCCTCATATCGTACTAATATCTATTATTATTATTTAAAAAAATGTTCACCCAAATAGTAATAAAGTAATTTAAAGCTATTAGAAAATAACATTTATAAGTTTTTTATTACATAATTTTATTATTGAGATAGATAAATAATATTATTTTATATTTGTTTCAATTAATTTTAATAAAATTCAAGCTAAATTAATCAAAACTGAAAACAAAATAAGCATAATTTTGTGATACATTTTTTGTACTATAACGAAAATGTGTGAAATGTGTAGTAAGTTGCATTGTTTTTTGTATAGACCTTTAATTGAATTGATTACGAATGAATGATAAATCGTGAATTTTATGAGAGGATTTTTCCAAGGGCATTTTATGTGTTAATGTATTATTTGATTTGTTATCATATTCTATTAGATGTTCTATGTGTTATTTTTAAATTATTACATAGAATTAATGCAAAATAAGCAATTTTACCATAAAAAATCATCCTATTAAGTAACAATTTTTAGTTTCAACTTAATACGCATAAAAGTTCATTAGGTTCTAGTCTATTCGTATATATATATATCTATGATTGCGTGTAAGTATAATACGATTAGAAAATAATAAGCATATGAGATTTAAAATAGACTAATCAATCAAAAAGTTATCTAGAATGTCTGAAATATTAAAAAAGCCATAATCGTATTAAAACATCTATTAAATAAGCAAACGTGAAGTCATCGATGATCTTCCATAAATTTACATCTGTGTGACATCAATGATGATTTCCATAAAGTATTTGTATAAAATACATTTTTTTAAAAATTAATTTCTTGCGTTTGAACTGTTAAGTGAAAAATTTTAACAGTTTTTTTATTGAAATAAAATTATTTATTTCGTCTTTCTATAATGGAAAACAATTCCATATCTGAAGAAATGGAAACTTCTGAACAAGTGGAATTATTATTTGAGAAGAATAAAACTGTAATCGTAAAATATATTTAAAATCCATTTACTAAAATAAGTTAAGCAATTATATAATCTTTATATATTTTTTCAGTACATTTACCATAAAATGCAGGAAATTGTTGTATACAAAAGAAACGCGATAATATTAAAAGCAAATATTCAAAAATTGGAATCAAAAAAAAAAAGTTTTTTAGAGTGTATTAAACAATGTGAAATTCTTTTAGTTGCTATTAAAGAGCTACAACATTACGAACCAATGATAACGGGTATTCAAATGTTATAGTTAAGATCTTGAATAAATATTAATTTTAAAATTTAAAGTCAATACTCGATGCTTAAATATTAAATTTTGTGTTTTATACAGGAGAAATTCAGAAACTACAAAATTCCATAACCGAAGTAAAAAAAGTAAGATACAAGGGTAATTTAAATAAAAATTTGCAATCAATATTGAACAACACCATAAAATTATAAAATCATAGAAATTTAAGTAACTTTTAGTTTGTCATTTTAAAAACATTCTTATACTATTGCTTTGTGAATTGTCTCTAAGTGAATATTAAATATTTTTTTGTTTCTAGGAGATTTACAGTTTGGAATCAGACAAAAAGATAGAAAATACTACTGTAATGAAGCAAAATTCAAAATTGGGTAAATTTCATTTATTAAGAAAGAAAAAATTGTAATTTTTTTTTTTTGTATAATTATTATTCTAGAATAAAAATAAAAATTTAAGTTTTTAATTTTTGGACTTATTTTCAGTTAACACAATAAAAACTTTATTAGCCGAGACTTACGACTCTTACTTTGAAATGCTTGTTAAGAAGGAAAATCAATTAGAAGAATTGAAAATAAAATGTGGAACAATTCAATCTACATTTGAGTCGGAGGTGATTAATTATTTGTAGATGGACTAGATCAAAGTTGAGTTTAAACATTTGATTTTTAGGAGGAAAAGTTGCGGAAAAATTATGAAAGACAAATCGATGAACTCAAAGTAAAAAATGCGCAGTTGAAGGAACTCGTGTCCATACATAGCCGAGGAGCTATGAAAGGTGTCAAGCGATTAACACTGTAGGACAATATTATTCTCACTGACGGAAACAAATTAAATGAATATCTTCTTTTCTTGCTTTTTTGACTGTCCCTGGACCTTGATCATTTGTTAGCTAACAACCGCGTGCCTATATGTTCAATAACTTTGCCTATACAAATTATATTCATCATATGTGTATGTGGCGAATAGTAAAACCACATCACTTTATCAAGGCCAGTAGAACTCGTCGCTAAAGACAATAGTTAACATAAAACTAATCGTCTGTCCCGTCCAGACGACTATCGCCGGACTTTGGTTAAAAGCAAAATTATTCCCAGGGCATCATTTCATTTGAACGCTAAAAAAATTGCGCGTATATTGATTAGCACTCAAATAATTCATTTTTAAATCAATATTATCACTTTTTAGTTAGTAAAATTTTATGAAGTTATGTTTTCAAAACAATTAGAATATAGTATTTGTAAGTATATCTGAACTATCTAAAGCATAAAGTTAAGCCAATTATTTAATATTTTAATTCCTCTTATAATTGTATAAAAAATAATCTGTATTTAATTGTAGTTTTAGGATATTTTATATAATTTTATAAAATTTTCTATTTATATTAATAAATGAGCTGAAATCATAAACTTTAAAACTATTTTAACACTATTTTAATAAACGGTTCGATGCAATCCTGTTAAATTTTTTGAGGAATATAATGCATTACAGTCTTTTATTATTGAATTAATTACATAAGATACTTATTAAATAGTCTACTCAACATTACAACCAAAGTGAAACATAATAACAGTAAGTTATATACATGTTTAGCTTGAGAGTTCATTTTTTCATAATAGATAAATCGTCGAAACATTTTCTTTTTTCAACAATAATATACTTCTTCTACTATTTCTGTATTAAGGTTTTTTATTAATTTTCATAAAAAGCATACCAAATATATTTTTGTCTCTAATACACTGTATCTAAATTTCATTAAAATTAATATTTTTAAATAAACTTAATAGCAGATTTAAAATGAAGAAACAATTTTTTGAAAATGTTATTTTTACCGGTAGCGTAATTTTGAGATATTCTTTTAAATTTCTAAAATTGAGGGAATCTTTTCAAATAGATTAAAATTGGGTTCTGAAATCAACAAAAATAGTCAAACTGAAAACTGAAGTGAAAAAAAAGTGAAAACTGATAATTTTCATGAACAGACATAAAAAAAATAATATAGTGAAACCAATACCTTCTCAGCTTATAATCGGAGGCTTCAATGCTAAAAATGAATTCCTATTTAATGAAAAGATTTCGATGGTTGGCTTTGGAAGAAAATAAACTTTAAAAAATATTTGTATACGACTTGATAAATTATTATATTATAATTTAAGCAAACCAATTGTGTTCCTTATTTGTTTTCTCTAAAATAATGATAGTTGCGTAGGGTCGTGTAATGTTTTAAAGTGAATATAAAAGATTTTTATGAGTCATACATGCAATGAATGTTTTCAACACTTAACTAACTTTAATTTACAATGCGAAGGAATTAGAATATGAAATCATCATTTTAAATCGCTTCTATCTTTTGCAGACTAAAAAAAAATTTGTGTGTCATAAATGTAAATCAATTATTTTTTTTATTTAAGTAAAATATATTGACACCGCGTTGCATTTGTAAATATATTCAATCAATATTTACAATCTATTTACACCAACGCCTGCCTAACCAATAATAATTGGTTTTTATATAGCTTTCACTATTAACGTACACGTGCAAATAATTTCAAACAACTCATACACAAATAACATTATTATAAAATATTTTAAGAAATATAGAACGTATAGTAGGTACCTGTGTGCCCATTATTCGTTACGGTCGTTGCTGTGGGCAGCGTGTCGATATTGTGAAAACGCAATAGTGGTAAAGTTACATTGGTCACTAAATTTTCATCGATGTCGATTGGCGATTGGTATTTTCCGGAACACGTCTCATACTTGGAGGCCCAGTGTGGAGGATCTGTTGGCAAAGAAATCAAAATAATTAATTGTTGATATTATATCTAAGTAATAAATTATTTGTTTTGTTACTTTTATACAATGCATAATTTTTTGGTTCATAAATGTTGAGAATTTCATTGGTGAATAATATTTTATTGGATACGACTATGTATACCATTCAAAAGCAACTTTACAATTTTTTTTTTACACAAAGTAAGAAACTGTATTTATAAAAATTTCGAAAATAAACATAAAATGAAAATGACTTATTGATATAAGTTATTTTTATTAATTGCTATCCACGCATTTGAAAATTAAGCGTTCTCAATTGTTTTCAAAAAATAGTAAAACTTATTTTATAATTATTTTAAACTGTATTTATTAGAGTAAATTATATCGAATTGGTCCATTTTACTTAAGAACGACTAAGAGAGAACAATTTTCTCTAGTTTTAGCAATCAGTCCAATCTTGTTGTAATTGAAATCGACCAGTAAAATAAAACTAAATGACCAACAAAATAACAACTAATCATTTTTTCTGTCATAGCTAACAAAATTTATTATTGAAAAATTAGACTAAGAATATGTTAAATTTTTAGTAGTACATAAATTATATTTTTATGTAAAAAATGATGAGCATCGGGTACGTGTGCCAAGTTGCACTGAGTAAGTGTAACGATTGGTGTAAACAAATTTTTTTTTGTAATATAGTGTTTATTTCTAAATTGTCAACTAACGGTCAAAAAAAAATGAACGAGACATAAGACATGTTATACTTAACATCGGTAGTAAAATGTGTGTTAATTGATATTCAATAAGGTTAATGACTTTCATCTGACGTTCAAATATGATACAACTAGATTTCGTACAATTGAACTAGAATACAATATATTATTAGGTACATCACATGAAGTTACTAATAATTTTATAGACACTCATTAAAACCATTTACATTTCTCCAACTCCGCTGGTAATTTGAACATCCAACGACCTCGACCTCTCTATAAAAAGATCTACCTTGACCTCAGCTACCGTTTCGTTTATACAGCGTTAGTAAATGTAAACATGTGCTAACGGGTTCGCACGGCGCCTACGTCGCATTAGTTATCAACAATGTTTATCGTGACATAATACAGTGATACCATATAAAATAGCACTTACCAAGTTCACCGGAGTCATAGCCAAACGATTTGTCTTCATCAGAATTGGCCGTTGTTGACCCACAAACCAATCCTGCAACATAATACGACAAATTTTAATATTCATTGGTCGAGCAAAAGGTTTAGAAGTGAATTTGTATTTTATAATAAATTGCGGATGATTAACTCCTATAGTATAGATAATTTAAAACGTCAACCTTCATATAATAATTATGAAGGCGGAAAACACGAGATCGCCATTAGAGTAACGTAACAATTATATTCAAGTAATTAAATATTTTATGCGTATTTTCCGAAAGTGACAAAGCTCACCCTACGGTGTGTCTATTTATTAAGTATTTGAAGATATTATATTTTAAGAGCACAAAGTTCTACTTTTTAAATTAGTGTCATAATCAATATAAGTAGTGACGATAACTTAAAAAATCGAAATTATAAAAATGTTTCAATATTCCATGAAACAATTTTGTGTAATTTAAAACAATCATTTGTAATTTATCTCAATACAGCTCTCTGCTAATTATTTTACTTTTCGTACTACTGTATACAGAACGTGTCAAAATATAACCCCATTGTTTTAGGCAAATGACGTAATCAAAGTTTGATTAAAGTTTATGACATTAAAACAAACAAACCAACTGTGAAATCTACTTTGTTTTATTAATAAATTATGTCTACTCGGTAGCTAACAGGTGAAATTTCCTTTTGCTACTCTAATATTTTTCAAATTTAGTAACTCAGTTGATAATAACAGTAAAAGTTTGATGTTTAGTAGAACTATTATGCAATCAAAAATTTTACTGAAGTAAAATTTTATCGAAATTTTACGAATTTCGTTACATGTTGTATTAAAGGCAGTTATTTCTCAGATGAACTTTTCTTTCTAAAAGTTGCCTCAACATCATTAATAGAACATCTACACTATCTAAATTTTTTACTTAAAACGCTGTATAGTTTATAAGGAATAAGTAACCTAAACACTGAGTGTGTAGAGTGTAACAGAAATATTGATTCAATTAATTGATTAATTCAGCAAGTGTTTTAAGTAAATTAAATTAGAAAATTTTTACTTGGAGATTTTTGTTTACGGCGATCATTACAGGCATTAATTTAAATATAGCTCATCATAGTATGATCTAAATAAACGACGGGGGTTGATTAATAAAAACAAGTTTTGTCATATGTTTTATGTTAGTGGGACAATTGGGTTTCCAAGGGCAATGTTATTTCGTAATGAATTATCTTGGGACAAGGCGATTGTGATTAATGGATAAATTATAAACACAAACTTATTACAATCCTTAGTGACTATAATAATAATAATAACTGTGTATGTTATCAACTATTCGCAGTGTTGGTGACTTGCAAAAAAAATATTTGTCTTCTGAATTCTTCAGAATCGTCTAGTTTTCATAATAAATGCAAAAATCTTATTGGTTGACATTGTTATACAATGTAGTATTATTTAGCGTGTGTCGCAGTGCACAAACTTAACATCGTACAATCAAATTTCACCAAACGTTCATAGAAAACCGATACACATCTTGTTTATTGTGAAATCTCTGAATAGGAGAACAATAATAACAATAAATTTATTATTAATTGGTCACATTGAAAGCCTAGAAAATTTGATAGTATTAATTTTAATATTAACTAATCGATTTCCACGGAATAGACATGAAGGATATAAGTGATCTTTCCATCTTTATCTTCTATCACAACTGTAGTGATGTCGCGGACTTTGAAAAATACGTCACAAGGATCGTGTGCATTTTTAAAAGTATCTATCGCCAATACTATTTAACAAAATCACAAAGGAATTCAATATATTATCCTGCGTTGTTAATGTAACTTGCCTCTTCTTTATAAAATAAAAAGAATGATCTAGTACTTTGAGATAAAATTTTTCTAAACAACAGTACACCAATAATCATCAGTAACAAAATTCATATGTAGTTATTAATTTATGTATCCCAAAATAGTAACTGTTATAAAACCAATGCGTTTCAATAGATTTTAGTGGAACGTGTTTCTTTTCAACTGCAAAGCGTTTAAAATGTTTTACACAATAATGTTGAACAATAGAATATTTACAATCTACCACCAGATGTAAATGGTCGACGGTATAAATAGTATGTAATCACTATGTTTATATTCAAAGAAAAATTCAAGACTATCGAGTGTAAAATATTTCATCACAATTGAATGAATGAACTTTCCGAAAGAAACTAAGTTTCTAATTTTGAGAAGGATATTTTGGTGTTATTAGTGCTTCATAAATTTCAAGGGCAATGCTTACAAGGAGCTAGTAGAGAATCACTAATAGTGTGAAAAATTTGGTTACATGGACCATAGCGTCTGTTAATCAGTCGTTAATTAACAAACGATGAAAATTCATTATCGCTATATCCTGTGGACATCACAGGAAGCGCACAGCGATATTAACCAATACGTGCCGTATTTACCGTATTATCTGTTTGACAGGCTGAAGGTTAAAACCGAATGATATTTGCGCGAGTAGTAATTATGTGTCGAATAATAAATGCTATAATTACACGGCACGCGGTGATTGTACTAGTACAGTGTGTATATATTGTATAGGGTAACGATGAAGAACGTAGAATGTGTGTGAAGGGTTAATGATTTCTCCTTTTTCGCAATTCAAAGCGACTGTCATACAAATTAGCATACGAAAAATATATAAGAATTTGTCATGTTGGGTCGCGGAAGTCAAATCAAACGGACGGGGCACTGTACGAAATGACTTTCGTCTCAAATAAACAATAACGAATTAGTGTAATGGTAATGATAGTAATATATGCGAAAACGGAACGCCCATACGGATGCGTCACAAGGATTCAGATAAAGATTGCTATTAATTGATTTCAATAAAAATACAAGAGTCTACACTCGTCAGCGGCTTGTACAATATACAGTCTGACTTCCGTAAAATACAACTTAGAATTCGATTAAGAGTGCCTTAAAATGGTAATGACTAGCCCCACTGAATTTGTTCGTAAATTCCACACGCTATCGAATGTCTGGTTTATAAATGAGTAATTAGTTAAGAGTTGAAATCCTTTTGGAAATCGCTGCGTACTTCAAAGGGGAAATATGTAAACTTCCAGCTTTTCGAAATGTGACAGTTAACACTCATCAAAACTCGAGCCAGTTGATATCGTCTCGGGTTCCATGTGTGGTATGTGTACTTTCACAAGGACAAGATCGACGAATCTTATTACTTCGAAAATGAGCGTGCAGACCGTAAATCACGAAAATTTATCATTGAATCGTAACTCCTACGACAATTCGTTTTTCTAATATCGGTAGAAGACTTATTTTAGCATGTATTTCGGTATTTTTATGCGCAAAAACTATTTACAAAAAATCATTAGAAAAATGCTACTGGCGAGTGAAACGTTACAAAATGACTCTAACGACCTAAGCTAATCTTGAAATTATCAAAAAAAAATTCTTCGACTACTTAATAACGTGAAAACTTTTGCACGTCATTAAACGTTTAATTGTTTTATCATTTGAACAAAGGTGAAAATGAGTTTTTTTTACTCGCATTTCGCTGTGCTTTGAAAATTCGCGTGCATCATTAGTTTCGGCCAAGGCACGTTGGGTATTTCCCATTATATCTATCACAGCGTAGTAAATTGAGAGCTACTTCACTAACTTGCGCTTATTTAAACGTCGATGGCAACCAAATTGCCGTGAAATGTGTTAATAAGCGGTTATTAAAAAGTTAATGTAAAGTAATTTAGAATTTTTTTTAATGCTATAAGTGAACAAAAAACATTTGTGATATTGAATTAATAAAACATAAAAACTATTTAGTTTGCTATTTTAAAGGTTATATACGTTTAACAATCGAGTAAATAAAAACATGTGTGATGATGGGCTCAAAACAAAGTTGTAAATTATACAATAATAATGGTCAAAAATGTAAGCCATTCGAATGTATGATAAACATCGCCAAATACTTCCGACTAGATTGAATCATAAAAATTATGTAAAAAAGAGTTAAGGCGTTCGTGGGAAACGAAAAATTTAGTGAGGTTATAGGTCTTTAACTTCGAAGGTAGACTACTTTGATCGAGGCCGGAAGTTTTATGATTATAATGTCGAATCATTTAACAAAAGCTACAGATTAAAATATTGCAATATTCTTACTAAACGTATACAAATAATCGTATTGTACGACTGCCGGGAGGACATGAATTTCATAGAATGACGTGCACTGCAACTAGAAACTTCGGTTTAAAATATTTTTAAAAATACTTTGGCCAAGAAATCATAGTTATCATCTTACTTCATCGTCATACTACTTACGTTTGTTCGATAGTTTTGGATATCGAATGGTCTAGTCAATACGACACTTGAGTGATGGGCTAAGATAAAAAAAAAACCAATCGCAGTAGTTATAAGTAATTATATTCGCGAAACAAATTAATTATTATTTTGATTCTGAAGAATTTTTGTGTTATTGTTAGGTAAATGAAATTCAAACTCTATCCATTCATTTTGGGAAATTATATGCAGAACTATAATAACATGCAGCTAAATTGTTAATTATAGCTTGTATACGAGTGCAGTTATCCTGATCGATTTTAATCGACCAATAATTATATACAGTCGTAAATTAGTTTCACAGCGTTACTTTGATATTTTATATCGATAAAATGTTAATTTATAACTTGGTATTAAACAGTCTTATGATTTTGTGATTCTTTGACACTTGGCAATAAACTGAATCATTTCGCTTTTATTTTATAGTTGTGTAATTGACGGCTGGGCAACGTTGGGCTATCGTATGGCTAGTCAACGAGAGCTTTGCAAACAGTACTGCCGCAAGGTTTTTCAAAGCCCTGGAAAACATATTAACAACCAGATGGGGTAGATCCCCTCCTCTTCCATATTTTACACGGATGTATAGACTTATTTCTATACACCACTGACAACAAAAGATTCAAAATTGATATCGTATATAAGTATATAGAAGTGTAGAAGTGCAAGGTCCTAAAAACAACACAAAGATACCAGGCCCCGGCAATCTGTCAAGTTGCCGAGTTCAAGCGACGGCACTGTTTTCAACACATAAAAAGTCAACTACAGTTATATTGTACTAATATATATTCAACATTCGCGAGGTATTCACGATTTATTGTGTGCAATTTCCAGTATTAACTTGAACAGTGTTGTCTTTACAAATCTCTACATTTACATAGGTTTGGAAAATATGAATTTATATTCTTTTAAAAATTATTAAAAAACTATTTGTAAACATTTCTTTTTATTTCAAAGTAAAATGCGAGTATTATTTATTATTATTGTTTATTTATTTTGATTAGGTGACTTTAAACTTCTTTGGAAAAACATATAAATTATAAATGTACGGAATAATTACATTAATATTTATCGTCGGCGAAGTTAAAAATCATGTTCCGGGTGGATTTGATATTTGTAATTTTTCCTATTCTCGACCTTTTGCATTGTTAAATGTTAATTTAATAGAAATGGATTTAAAGATATTTAAAGGAGAAGATTTGAATCTATAATGCCGGCACTATTTCTCATTAATAATAGTCATCAATGAAATTTCAATCAAGAGTAATAAATTTCCTAATTACCAGAATAAATTTTAAATAAATAATGTGGAAATAACAGCTAGTTCTTCTTAAATAAAAATCTTTGATATATTATAGTTAGAGAATCTAGTCTAACATAAAACATTCATTAAGATACTTTTTAGCAAAAATAAATGAAAATATTGAAGTTTTAAGGATGATTTTAGTTAATTATTTAAACAATAAAGTTTTGTAATAAAGTTGAAGATGTCGAAACTGAATTTTTGACAACCATATTTTCAAAAACGATATACAGTTGATTGTACATGTGACATGCATTATTTTCATACAGTTCGTTTTCTGACAAATAATTCATAATTGCCTCATACTAATATGCTAATATCACCAGTTTTTGAAATCACATATTAGTATAACCCAATGGGTACATCATTAAGGTCACAATGTTTCATTGTAATTCGTATTACATTGTGTAAACACAAACAAACTAATGTAATCTATGTTGAGCATGAAATGTTGTCAAAACTTGACATTTTAAGGTAAATTAAAACGATGTAGAAATAGATATGTGGTGTATAAATATTCGTTCTGTTTATTATTATCATGTTATTATTGTAACAGATTTCTGTTAAAATATTTTGACAATATTAGTGAGAATTAAATTCTTTATAAGCAATTAGGTAAAATTTATTTAATAGTTAAGTTTAAAAAGTTTCTTAATTGTTTAAATATTCATTAAAGGCAATATTTGTCTTATTTTTGTTGTCCAATGTAATACAAAATAGAGTTATTATTTTAATAGAAATTAAAAATCTATTTTCATCAGTAAATTTAAAAAAAATAATAATATGTAAAAACATATAAAGAAAACATGAAACACTCCTGAACGTTTTATTTCTCATGCAGTTTTTATTTTGGGTAAACGTTTCACTGGCAACATTTGATGGAAACTTGCCATTCTATATGCATTCTAAGTGAACTAGTTAAAAGATTCGTCAGATAGGCAAAAATGACATTTTTTTACCGTAAAAATGAGACGCCACTTGATTAATTAAGCGTAAAGTATATTTATATCTAAAGGTACTGAATTATTTAGTGGAATCAGCTATTAATGTTAAATGAATCAAGTCGAATGAAATCTTACGAAAACAAATATAATTAAATAGAAATGTTATAATCACGTAAACTGCAATTTCATATACATTCGTTTAATTATAAACTAAATAATATTTTTTATAATATAAAGTACAAAATCATAACAATCACATTTGTCTATTTTAAAATATTTATATATATTTTTTTATACAGTTTAATCGTAGTTCTTTTAATAATTAGATTCTAATGTTTCATAGAGTATATATACCGACTTCATACACAAACTAAACAGTAATTAATATACATACATTTTAATGTGAGAACATTGGCGATTCCATTTAAATAAAAAGTATGATTGTTGTGTTTATTTTTATTACGGCGTAGGCGATAAAACATAAAACACATTTGCTGAGTAACAAAGGAGCAATTTTTTTCGACAATTTGTTAGTTTATTTATATAAGAAGAGATGCGAAATAAATACTTCAGTCTTAGTATTTAATCATGTACAACGTTATTTTGATCAAGCAAAAATAAATTTGTAAATAATTGTTAAAAATATCACTGGGTGTCCAGTCAGAGATTACTTCTCTCATAAACGCACCAATTGATATTATGTATTTTAGGGTGGTGTTTGTATCTTAACATTGATTGACGAATTTTGTTTAGTCTGATTAAACTACATTATTACACTAAAAGCCGCTTACAAGATGCGGTCCGTCTAAATGATGATTATAAATCTCGCTGTTCTATTATCTTTCAGTGAATGAGAATTTTTCAATAAATATTGAAGGTTGACGATTGATGAGAAAAGTGCATTCGAATTTCGAAAATAAAATATAAATTATGCACAAATTTTGTTTGTTTTACGAACACTGTGAGGTTTCATTTAGTCTTAAATCGAGTGGAACATGTTATTATGTCATTATTGTAATAATGATGGATGCTTTCCTATTAAACACCTATGTGAGACGGACAATTCTAAACTAGACTCAAACAATGAACGGATCTATCGCGTGCAAGACAAATTGTTAAANACGGACAATTCTGAACTAGACTCAAACAATGAACGGATCTATCGCGTGCAAGACAAATTGTTAAAAATTATACGGTAATACCCGAAGAAGCTAAATTAAATACCTCACCTGCCGGAAACTGTATTAACGAAAAATGGATAATTGCTATGATCCGGGGAGGTTAAGGTGGTTCTATCGTTAAGGAAGTAATTTCTAATATGTAATACTTTTTTTTTTTTAAGAATTAAGGGATATCTTGTAAATTTTAATGATAAGACCGCGAAGTAAAAAGTGAAACCTATAATCTTCCTATGCCGGAATACATTACACACCATATTTTTCGTATAACCAATACTGAAAAAGTGAAAACGATAATTTTTCAAGAAAAGTTGAAACTATACTTTGTTGTATTTTTAGGAAAATTGAATAATTGTACGGATACCTGTGTAATTATAAATAATTAAACACTGAAATGTGTGTAATTAATGGGTCATAATAAAAGTGATAAGATAAATACAACGTCAAAATACTATACAAAATAAAATTAATGTGTCATGATTTGATACTCGTGTTTTAGAACTGTATGCATTGCTGCACTGTACTGAATGTACTGTCAATGATTATCCAGTTACCTGTAATTGATTGTCATACACTTGGTGACGGCAGACTTATAGTGTTATGGCGCTGGACGGGAAATTTTGCAATACATTACAATACATCAAAACGTACACGTAAATATCATACGACGGAACAATTTCCCGATGTAAAACTGCCAATTTTTTCCCTCTTAATTTTTCCTGCGTACGTACAAACAATAGCATACGCTGGTTGTTTTTTATATTTAATAAAATAACTTTTTTATGTCCAAAACGATAGGTATATATATATATATATATATATATTTTGACAAATAAAAACGTTAAAATTGGTAATAAGACAACACGGCGCAATGATTTTATCTACATAGTAACTAAAAATTACTGGGTTAAGGTTAAATGTAAATTTAAAAGGATGTAGCTAAAATCAACTTTATTATAGAAACTATAAGCGTCGAGAATGCTGAAAAGCGACACAGCAGTCAGTCTATAAATTACAACGACTGTTTACAAATTAAATTTTAAAATATTACAATGTTTGAACTACATTGATTATTTAATTACCTCAATCAGTAACTTTTTGACACATAAAAAAAAAAACAAAAGCTTATCAACTGTATCATTAATAGGTTTTAAAAATATTTAAAAGTGCCCCAAAGTATTTTTAAATGATCTCAAAGATAAACGATTTCTCGAGAAATTATCAACAATTTTACATGAGATAATTTAAAAACAGTGTTAAAATTGATTTTTAACTATTTTTTTTATAAAAATTACCATCATAAAAATTGAACTGGTAACACTAAAGATATTAAAAATATAACTTTCTATAATTTTTATTTCAATAGTTATTGTTTTACGATTATTGTACGCAAAAAAAGAGTTAATCTAATTCTAATGAATATTTAATTATTAATTGTAATAATTAATAATTATAAATATAATATACAAATAAATTAAATTTTTGTGTTTGAAGAGCATAGTCTTATAATAACTAAAAAAAAAATTGCAAAATGTATAGAAATCCGAGCCCTATCCATAAGACATTTTATTCACAAGTAAACATCGAATATTTTATTCGAATACCACAATATATAAAGTCAAAGACTTAAGTAAATCATGGTAATTTTTTGTGGTGAACCGCGAATTACACACGTCTAAGTACCGCACACTCGTATTTCATCATGTTATATTCGTTTTTTTTGCTGAAATTGTCGTTAAAACCGTACGAATAAAAGAAGCGCCAATAATAATAACGAGGGTCTAAACGTGTGTACGTTCTAGACATATACGATGCCGGCTGATTTATATTAATTGAATCTAACGGAACCTAATTTTTAAATTAAAATCCTATCTTGATTTAGTTCCTTAAAACATATCTAAAATAATTGAAAACCTAAACTTAATCACGTTGATAAATGTACGAAAGGTTAATTGTATTTTTTCAACTAATCACGAAGAAATTGTAAGTTTTCGCTTGGGTAGACCCAAAAAAATGTTTTCAAAAATGGGTTTCGTTAAAGTAATTCAACACCGGGTTCCATAAAAATAAAATTTGTATGTATAAATACTGTTAAATTTTCAAAAAAATATCAGCTTATCTTATAAATTATATACAGGCAACAAACTTATCATATAAAGAACTGAAGACTTAATTGATCGACAGTTTATGGATAGACATGATATTTCTTTGCAAAGTTACTTACCGACAATCCCAAAAATGTAGACGAGTTTCGCAAGCATGTTGAGGTGTGGAGTGAAATGCAGAAGAAGAAAAAGTAATAAAAGTAGTAATCCGGTAGTATTTTCAATGTATGAGATGTTTTATACGTTTATTTTGAAGAGTTAAGTACTATATATACATGCTCTCGACGCATCGGCTGGCGCAGACGCCGGTTGTCTAACGGTGAGGAATCCTCTGCTGCTCCGGGGGCGTCTGTTGCGAATAAACGCTCCCTGGCGGTCGTTGTCTGAGCCATTCGGCAGCATGTGTGCTCCGCATTATTATTATTATTATTATTGTCATTAAATTATCTCATTTTTTTAGCGCCAATCCGGTTTCGCTCTTGCCCGGTGCTGTTGCGCCTACTAGTATTTTTTTTTTATAACATATTCACAACTCCCTCTTAACCTTTTACTGCGTATTTTATTGCGATTTCGAGCGAATTACGGTGGTCATAATAACGTTAAACCGGTGCCATTGTCCTGTAAGTATTCAATGTACAGTCATCATGCCTGGAGAATACAATGCTTGTAGAGTTTATAGTAGTTTGTCAATAGTTGATTAGGTCATAGGAAATTCCAAAATGATGACCATGATAATGAAAACTTACATGGTCCAAGAAAACTTTTACTCGTTGAAAGTTTTTGTACGAGTTTAATCATAATGCTTTAATTGTTTTTAAACATTGAAAAAAAAAAAGAAAAATTGTGTGATTGATTACATACTTTATGAACGGTAATTTGAATATTGTAGTTAGTGATGTTACATCTAACATACTTATATGTATACACCAATTAGCTACAGAAGCGTGATTTCAGATCTTACTAGAATGGCACACGTTTATTTAATAACCAATTACTTCACAAAGCCGTTTGCTTTGCTCGCGGTTTATTTTCTAACAACTAAACTCTATTACAGATAATACAAAAATTGTCTAAAATTATTTAACGACAATAAATCATTAATTTTCAGTGGAGTTTTAGGACGATAAACATAGTTTTTTCTTTAAACTTTTTGTTTAAGTTTCGAAATTACATAAAAAAATTTAAGGATATAATGTTAGAAACGAAGATTTAAACATTATAAACAAAATAATTAGGAAACGTTTTCTTTTATTTTGAAGCTCGGACTGTTTTAGATATAATGTTTTGTATTTAATGATACAGTGATAATCTATGTTTCTAATTATGATACCAGAAAGAAACATTATTAAAATCGGATTATTTTTGGACTTTTAAATAATTTAGAATAAAACGTTAAGTGTCTTTACTTAGAATAAAAATCCATTTTCATTACATTTCTTAGACTATAAATTATTTTTAACGAGGAATGATCTTGCTCAAAGTATTACCCGGTCATGAAGATTATGATTATTAAAAATTAGACTGGAGCAAATTCTCAAGTTGTCACCCTTCAAATGACGACATTGGTTAGCAATAATTGTATAATTATAAAATTTCAATATAATTGAAAATAAATAATAAAGGCTTTTTTACAAACATTTACACAAGTTTCTATGTATCAGGTCAACATAAAAAACACCATATTTATCTTTTTATTTATCAATAATTTTGGCTATTTCAGTAATCTTATCGGAAAGCTGTGTTTTAGTTAACTCACAACAATTTTGACATTCTTCTTGACGGATTTTGCTCAATGGTATCACAACTAGTTTTATTTTGTATTGTTTTCTTTGAGAATATATGTCAAAAAATGTAAAACTTTAGCTAAATAAGTATACGTTAATTTAAAAAAATCAGTTAATTTTCTACAATCATTCGTCATAATATGATATTGACTTTGATTATCAGTTAAACACTTAACGTTATTGAGGATAATTTAAAAATGTTTACAATTGTTATAATTCATCACTAGTTTCTAATGTAAATTTAAAATTAAATATGTCACATTAAGTTTGCTATATTTTGAATGCTTAAACATAAGTGTTCAATGACTAATTGTGTACTTGTACAATCACTACTTTATTTATCGGAGACCTACTCATAGTTCGCAATGTATGGTTATAGAAATAATTTTTTTACTTTTTATTTTTGGAAATTTAATATTGATGATAATAAAAAATCATATTTTCCCTGTAGCAAACTGATAAATTGTTTTGGAAATAAGGTGAATACAAAAAATACTTTTTACTAGCGAGACAGAAAATTATTGTGTTCACCATGTATTTTTTTTTGTTCTGGAGGAGATCTATCTCTTTTTTTCCCCTTAATTATGCCTCTGATTTCTCGTTTATATATATAATATAGATTAAATGGCCTTGTTTAAAGAACATACACTTTAACATTAATAGTAAATATCTATTTAGGCTAATGTATAGAAACACATAGTTACGTTTTTCATAATGATTTAATTATCTTGCATGTAGTTGAATATTGTTTAATAACAAATCTATAACACTTCCAAAAAGTAATATGATATAATTCCAAGTACATTAGTTCAAGAAATGAAGTCGAAGAGAAAATCATAGCCTATTGGAAATTGTCATTAGTTCGTTGACAGCGATCTCTGAGTTAAATTTCCCGCGGACATTGCACGACTCAAACCAAGGGCATTTCGGTGACAATATGTAGTTGTTGTCTATTTGGAATGCTCTGATTGTTCGGAAAAGATACACTGGTTGGCTTAATTGAAAATTGTTTTCAAAGAATACCAAGTGATTGAGGATCATCGCTAATCAATTATAACTGGTCTTAAAAAAGCATTACTTAACTACCAATCAGCAAATAATCCAAATATTCAAAGTTAACTTTTTTTTCAGAAAATTATTTTCGTACAGTTTTCTTATTATTTTCAAAGGGAAGGGGAACTGGTCAGGAATATGTGAAGCCTAATTGTTTTAATGATGTGCAATTGTTAATTTTTACTTAAGCCATTATTAAAAAGTAATAGATGAACATTATGAATAAAATGAGTTACATACTATTCCTTTAATAGACACCGAATAATTGTATTGGTGTAAAAGGATATTAGTTGAACATAATTTTAATCGGACTTTTTTTTCCGAGAGAGTTTTGCTTATGAAATTTAATTTGTAATATTGTTGATTTTTGTTTTATGTTTTTCAAATGTTTTATAACATAAACTTTATTTATTTTTAAATTAAAAACCAACATTATAAGTAAACATAATTATGTTTTAATACCTACTTAATTTAAACTTGAATATTTCACTGTGTGTATTTTTATTTTTGATGCCTTTAGATCATTATTTAAACTTTGTATTTAAATGGCTTATACCTTAAATATTAATAAATAAATCATTTTTTATCTGAAGATAAAAAATGTGTTGAATAGGCCAATATAGATTTGTGATTGTAAAAACACTCTACTATTTTTCTAATTAAATTATATAACTTTTAACATGTATTATAGCTAGTGCTATTTCACAGCTTCGCTTTTCAATGTGAACAATTCTTTGCAATGGACTCGAAAAAATTCTAAAAATATTTTTATTATAATCATAAATTCTTCTTTTTTTCTTCGCCTTAATACCAACTACTTGGCCTCGGCCATCCTTATCCTTAACTCCCACCTGACACGATCTCTCACATCGTCTAAGCTCTCATCAACCATACTCATATCGCATTCAATAGCATCCCTCCATCTCTTTTTTGGTCTTCCTCTAACTCTTCTTTCTTCAACATTAATTTCTATAATTGTTCTTACAGCTTCCGATTCTTCTCTCCTCATAATAATCATCAATTGAAATGGAAAATTATTAAGCATTAATTAAAAAAATGTAATTTTAGTATAGATAAATATGATCCAAAATTTATGAAACTTCATCATATAGAACACTTATTTTTTCTATAGAATTAATAGCAAATAATGTAACAATACAATACAACACTTAGTATTGTATGTAGATTGTTAAAACTAAGTAACGGCGTTGGGTCATAATACATGTAACAATTCAATGTAATTTATGTCAGAAGATTAACTAATTGATTAGCCATGATATTTATGTGGTTTATCAATATAATCAACACATAATTAAAATAATTATTAATTTCGTTTAAATTATTCTAAATATATTCTTAAATATCTATTTAAGCTAATGTTCAAATAATGTTTAATGACTTATTTATATATATAACTTACTCATCCATTCATTTAATTATGATAAAACTTTCAACATTTTTTGTAATAACTTCCGAGAATGTTTTTAGACATATTTGAAGCACTTTTAAGAGATGAAGTACTGGGGGAATATTATTAAAAAAAGTAAGGTACAAGGGGAAAATAGTAATTGTCCATTTATGTAAATTTTTCAGGAGAGCAATAATAAACACTTAAATAATAGAAAAATTAAAACATTTTTCATTGAATAGCTTTCATTACTTAAAAATAAGAATTAAACCATAAAATCTAATTAAAAAAAAAGTGTTTTTACCATTTTCTCCTGTGACTTCCATTATTAATGTATCGGTTGAAAATACTTTAAAAATTACTATAATGTTTATTAATTTCATCATCATAATAAGTGTGTTTGTACAATTTTTAAGTAAGTTTTAAATGTATGTTAAATAGAAAATATATGTATTTAGATGATAAAAGAAATTAAAAAAAAAATACAATTAGATATTTATTAAAAATATACTTAAATTGTTATCAAATCAATAAAGGGAAATCAAGTTAAACATATATAAATATCTCCGTTAAGCTAAAAAGTTTAACTTAAATTATTAACTTGTTTACGGTTAGTCTAATAAATTAATTAAGCTTCACTTGATAATCAGAAGACAATCGTCTTAGAAGATTTAAGCATTTATGTGTGTCAACTTAATGTTTTTCCTAAACTACATCAATAAATTTCCTAACTCACCCTTCCTCAATAATTGATCAATTGATCATTATTTGTATTAGTAATTTAAAATTAAAAATATATTTTAATATATAATTTTAATTTTAAACAATATTTGTTACAAGTGTAAAATTCTAAAAATTATTTAGTGTAAATTCTTATTGTATATTAGTCAATTTTAATAAAATTTTATAGACTGAGTTAAGGTAATTCAAATATAAAAATTCAAGATAAAACATTATTCAACAGTATAAAAATATCCTCGAGAATGTTCAAATTGTATTTAATTATTATAACAAGTACTTATTAGTAGTAATTAGTTAAATAGCGCATTGTCCATTGATGATTTAGCTACCTAAAAATGTATTT